TTATACCTGTGAACTTACACGGTGACTGCACTGTAAAAAAAAAAAAAAACTAATTTTACAGAAAATATTTTTTTACACAATTTTTTTGTAATTTCAAATTATATTCAATACTTAGTAAAATGACAAACAATCCTTCTAAATTAATAGTTTGATTTTAGGTACTTTATCATTAAAGCAAATTACTGACATTTTTGTTTTTTATACAGGGAAATTACAGTATTATTAGGTATTTTTTCTGTTATTTTAAATTCTATTCAAAAGTCCATAAAATTTACAAACAATACCTTTAAATTAACAGCTTGACTGTTATTTTATGTACATTATAATTAATGACAAATGACTGCAATTGTCCTGTTTTATACAATAAAATTTCGTATTATTTGTTTTTTGAAGTAGATTTAAAATTACGTGAAATAAAAGTAATAAATTGTAATTACTTGCTCTGTAAAAAAAATATAATGATTAAAAATCGAGGGAAAAAAATGTCAAATGACTGGCAGCTATGGCTGCCAAACAAAAACCATAACATTACGGTAAAATTTCTTTGTTTAAATAAAGTGCAAAAAATAATAAATAATCTACAGATGTTTTCATTCAAATGAAAAACACTGGTATTTTACAGACTTTTCTTAAATAATTATGATCAAATCCATTCAATAAATGAAATAGATCAAATCAGCTCACATGCACCTGTTCCGGATTCAGCTGATTGCGTTAATACACACACATACAGTTGGAGGATCGTTATAAACTGATACATGGACTTTAAAAACAGCACAGACGCACGCACCAATTGCTAAGTCTTGTTATACTGTTACTGTGGACATAACAATGTGTTTCTTTTTTCTTTTTTTTTTTTTTTTTACCTTGCTTTGTTTGTTAATTAGACTGGGACTGACCATTCGCCAGTAATTTGACCATGTCTCTGGATTCCCTGCATACATCTGTTTGCCCCTGTGTTGACTGTTGCCTGAACATCTGTGTGTTATAAACCTGCACTTGGATCTGCACTCCTTTGTCAGCGTCCCATTTCTTGTTACAGTTCCATTTCATTTAAGATTTGTAACTAAATCATTCCATACACCTTAATAATAAATCCCATTCAATAAAATGTAACGACTGTAAATTTAATCTCGTTTGTTGTTTTTTCCAGAATTTTTAGATCCAAAATAAATTGTTAAACTACGACCATGAGCATGTCTTGGCATTTTATTAAAGCTGTTTAATCGTAAGGATTTAGGGGAAATTCTTTTAAATAACATTGTTCAAGTTTTCTCTTGAACCTTTAGTGCAGTCACTTTATTGATGGTGTTCAATTGTAAAAAATTAGGAAAAGTCTGTAAAATAACAGTGTTTCTTTTTAAAACTCTTAGTGTGTAGCTTTAATGAACTGATTCGATCGTAATAATCTAGGAAAAGTCTGTAAAATACCAGTGTTTTTCTGTAAAACTCTTATTGTGTAACTTTATTAAATGGATTTGATCGTAATAATCTAGGAAATATCTGTAAAATAAGTGTTTTTCTGTAAAAATTTTAATAAAAATATCTGTAGATTTATTATTTTTTGCACTTTATTTCATCAAAGAAATTTTACTGTAATTTTATGGTTTTTGTTTGTCAGCCGTAGCTACCAGTTTTTTTTTTTTTTACCTTTTTTATGATTTTTTTTTATTTAGTGTACTTGTGTAAGTAGTAACTACAGTGTATGAACACACTGGTACATAGTATTTACTTGTGTAATACTGGTGTAACTATACTCATGTAACAACCCACTTAATAATATGTGTACTTTCAAATGTGTCACAGGACATTAATAACACAATCTTTGATAAATTACCCCTTTATTGTGAATTACTGATGTGCGTCTACAATTTACGTAAATATTAGCTATATGTACTTTTCTATAGGCTATACTCTTATACGTTTGCCAGTAGTTTGTTGTTGTTAAACAGCTGTACAAAGGCTTAGAGGTTTTATACATTACATAGTAATTTGTGACCATTTTACACTTTTTTTATTGAGTGGGCTCAACTCACTTTATTTCTATAGCACTTTAACAAACCACAATGATTACCAAAGTGCTGTACATAAAACACAAAACGCATATAAAAATACATAAAACCAAAATACATAGACTCACATCACATGATTAAAAGCTAAATAAAATATGTGTGTTTTCAGTGACCTCTGAAAAGACTCAAAAGTTTGAGCTGTTCTTAAAGAGAGTGGAAAATCTCTTCCAAAGTCTCGGAGCTGCTACCGAGAAAGCTCTATCACCTCAACATTTTAAGCGTGATCTAAGAACTTGTAAATAGAAATGATCCATAGAGCGAAGAGATCTCACGGGTTGCATAATAATAAGCTCAGAAATATACTCAGGGGCCAGGCCATAGAGGGATTTATAAACATACAACAGAACTTTTCCTGAGGATTTAACCTGTAATTAATTACACTGGTATAACATGGTAAAACCTAATACTGCGTTAGATCTGTCATTTTCCCATCTCTGGGAAACATCCACAGACACATTCATACACACACTCATACACTACGGACAATTTAGCCTACCCAATTCACCTGTCTTTGGACTGTGGGGGAAACCGGAGCACCCGGAGGAAACCCACGCAAACGCAGGGAGAACATGCAAACTCCACACAGAAACGCCAACTGAGGGGGGGTCGAACCAGTGACCCAGCGACCTTCTTGCTGTGAGGCGACGGCACTACCAAATGCGTCACTAAATTACTAAATAATCATACTCACATGCTACTCTCTTGCTACTAAACATCTGGGTCTGAATTTGCCGATTTTTAGCAGAACATGCATATGCAGGCCCGGATTGGCTAATCGGGAGGACCGGGAGAATTCCCGTTGGGCCGGTCCGTTTTTTGGCTGCGAGGGCCGGTGTCCCTAGTTCCAGAATCGGTTGCTCTCAGCAGTCACACTTTTTAAAATTTATTTATTTATTTACTTTACCACAGCCTTTTTATTCATTATTTTACCGCAGTTCTGCTCTTTTTATCTATTTTCACGTAGCCTCGTGAGCAGGATGCAAGTTAATGATGGTATAACTAGATAAGTCGCCATGCAACATGCAGCTGTTGTGGTACAGTGGTTAATACGTTAGATTATGACGTGGCCAACCTGGGTTCAGTCCTCGTCTGAGTAACAATTTTTTTTTTTTTTCATTTTTATTGTTAAGACATAATACTGTAAGGGTTGTTGAACATTTGAAGTTCTAAAAGTGCTGTTTTCTCAAAAAAAGACGTGATAGTGTAATTAGAAACTGAATTGGAAATAACCTTATTTTAATATAGTCAGTGGTGAACTGAGGTGGGCCGATCTGAGGCTTGAAACTCCAGGGCTGAAAAAGAGTCCCACTCCGGCCCTGTGCATATGGTTTAACTAATGTATTAAGATGTAAATATGATTTTGTTACCAACATTTTGACCATTAAAGCTAAAAATCTTCCCTCTGCAGCTTGCTTCTTGCTTTTAGCATGTAAATATTTGATCTTAGCTTTAGCACATTTGACGATTGACAGAAAATGGGCTAATAGGTGTTTGCAAAGTAAATAACAAAGGACCTAATATGCTTATATCAGGCGGCCGCCATTTTAAAGAACCAAAGTGAGGCTGCGTTGGGAAGAAACCCGGAGGTATAGGACCAGCACTGTAAACATTGCAGTAACATGCTGTGCACTACAAGCCTCCAGCTGTTTTAAAATGTAAAAATGTAAATATTAAATTTTACATTTTTAAAATGTAGAAATGATGATAACATCACTTTAATATCATTCAGTTCAGTTTAATTTAAACAATTAAAAACATGTTAGACATCAAATAACATCACAATCTCTTTAAGAGTGATATGCTCTAGTGTCCTTTTAGGCTTCAGTTCATGGCACCAGTTAAACACCATAGCGATGCTTTCCTGCTTCAGCCTATGTAACCAGCGCGGATGACTCGACTGATCTTTACGGCTGCTTCGCGCTCCAGTCTCCATGCATCTGTGTTTGCACTCAGTTTATCGCCCTTCACCCAGCGCAAACGCAGATACACAGAGACTGGAGCGCGAAGCAGCCTTGAAGATCAGTCAAGTCATCAGAAGCAGATCGCTCGTCTGTTAGTACTCGGTAAAAAGCAGAGGGTGAACTGATGACCTTCTCGGCCAATCACAAGCATTTCTGGTTTGCACGTGAACACAATGGCAAATCAGCACTGTTTTAAGAAAGCCATCAACAGTGCCCTAAATGTTAGGGGGAAATTGGCGGTTTTTCTTAAAATTCAGTATCATGACAGGTCTAATATAGTGAAAGAATCAGTTCATTAACTCAAGTTTGATAAATGGCATCTAAAACGTGTGTTTGGGAAAGAAAACGTTAGCTAACTAGTGCCATTCCCCTAACTTAGCTGAAAATGAGCTCTGATATCCCTTTTTATTTTCACCATTCATTCAGAACGGACCTTCAGGTCACTGGGAAGGCGGTGAAAATATAAATTTGTGTCATTTTATCTTGGCTGATAAGATATACAGCCAGGTAAACAACGTTCCTATGTAATTCCCAATGATACTTCCGGGTTTCTTCCCACCGCAGCCTCGATTTCGCTTTTAAAAAATGGCGGCCGCATGAAATCAGTCTATACTGAGCCTTGCATTACACCAAATAGGATAACTATTCAGTAACCAACCATTTCTGTAAAATGATTAACAAATGAACTGATTAATATTGGACCAAATAGTTATATTTATATTCATCCTCAATCTGTAGAATATAAAACAAACATCTAGTAAATTGTAATAATTTTTTCACACAAAAAAAAAAAATTTATACATATAGAAAAATTATAACTATTCCCTATCTTCAGAAGATAAACAGCAACATAGGACAAGAGTTTGTCAGTACACGTGCTGAATAATTTGGCACTCCCTCTTGGCCACCTTTCACAGTGTGGTGTTATACACTCGCATCACTTTGTGTTCTTAAAAGTTTAATTATCTGTATTTTGCTAGCGCCGCATTGGTACATGCTTGTGAAACGAATTTGAGAGGCATATCATTAGAGCCTTCAACTTCCAGCCATCGAAATACATAAACAAGCTTTTAAAAAACAAACCAGCCCTCAGAGTGATCACATCTAACAAACACCTGAATGTTAAAACCTCTGGAATACCTCTTCCAACCTTAAGATGAATCCATATGATGAAGAAACAACAACACATTTGACAGTCGTCTTACATTATAACTTTCATTATAAAAGTATGTCTCACGTCTCTGAAATCACTTTCATCATCAGCTCTCCCTCACGTGGCCGCCACGTTATCCATCTTAATGAGACTGGGCCGGAGACCTGCCAGGCTAAAAGTTCAAGCGACTGAGAAGTTCAATACATTAGTGAGGAGAAGCAGTCCGTAAACATTACCCAGAAACCTTAGTCAGGAGACGCAACGTGAGCTTTGGCGTGCTTGCATGGTTGTTAGGCATCCACAAGATTTCACAGGTTTGTGAGGAATTGCCTGACTAGTAAAATGGAGAAGGGGAGTCAGCCTTATCTGAGCATCACTTCCAAGGGAAGAACTCTGGAAGCAGCATGCTGCCCATAGATGTGTTTGATAGACCTGAACATCTCCTTCATGGGATCTGCAAGACTTCACATCCCGGGATGTTTAACAAGCCACACAAGGGGCGTAAGAAGTTGCAGGTGATTATATGTGTGCTTTTCGTGGAGCTTTTCGAGAGGTTCACCTTCTTTGGGATTGTCTGCAATATGATCCTTTTCTGCACCATCAAGCTGGGATACAGCAGCTACCAAGCTGCCATGGTGAACACGTGCTTTGTGGGAGCCTGCATACTTACGCCTGTTCTTGTGGGATGGTTTGCTGAGACGTGTTTGGGAAGGACAACGGTTCTCTGTTTTTGTGCACTTCTTCATTTCATCGGTTAGTGAATTCCATTTACATGAAATCTTGGTTGGTGTAGATATGAGTGCACTGTTAACAACTGACTGTAGAATCTACAGTAACTTACTGGCACTGTAAATCAAATACAGGAAGAATACTGTATTCACATTTACAGCACCTCTTTCTATATATGTAATTTTAGTATTGTAAATCTTTACCGTAAAATATACAGTAATTTTCACACTGCAACTTTTAAATACAGCAACATAACTTTTATACGGTAAAATTCAGTTCATTTTACTGCGCTATTTATCTTGCTCTATATGTATTTACAGTATTGTAAATCTTTACGGTAAAATATACAATCATTTTCACAATGCAACTTTAAACTACAGAAACATAACTCTCATACAGTAAAATACAGTTCGTATTACAGCGCCATTTATCTTGCTATATATGTATTTACAGTATTGTAAATCTTTACTGTAAATATACAGTAATTTTCACAATGCAACTTTAAAATACAGCAACATAACTCTCATACAGTCAAATACAGTACATATTACAGTGCCATTTATCTTGCTCTGTATGTATTTACAATATTGTATATCTTTACTGTAAAATATACCGCATTTTCACAATGCAGCTTTAGAATACAGCAACATAACTCTCATACAGTAAAATACAGTACATATCACAGTGCAATTTATCTTGTTCTGTGTATTTACAGTCCTGTATATCTTTACTATAAAATATACTGTGATTTTCACAATTCAATTTTAAAATACAACAACATAACTCATACAGTAAAATACAGTTCATATTACAGTGCCATTTATCTTGTTCTGTATTTACAGTATTGTATAGCTTTACTGTACAAGTTGAAGTCATTTTCACAATAAAGCTTTAAAATAAAACAGCAGAACTCTCATACAGTAAAATACAGTCAATACGATAGCACCATTTATGTTGCTCTATATGTATTTACAGTATTGTATATCTTTACCGTAAAATATACAATCATTTTCACAATGCAACTTTAAATTACAGAAACATAACTCTCATACAGTAAAATACAGTTTATATTACAGCGCCATTTATCTTGCTCTGTGTATTTACAGTATTGTATATCTTTAATGTAAATATACAGTAATTTTTACAATGCAACTTTAAAATACAGCAACATAACTCTCATACAGTAAAATACAGTACATATCGCAGTACCATTTATCTTGCTCTGTATTTACAGTATTGTATATCTTTACTGTACAAGTTGAAGTCATTTTCACAAAAAAGCTTTAAAATAAAGCAGCAGAACTCTCATACAGTAAAATACAGTCAATACGATAGCGTCATTTATGTTGCTCTACATGTATTAACAGTATTGTATATCTTTACCGTAAAATATAAAATCATTTTCACAATCCAACTTTAAATTACAGAAACATTACTTTCATACAGTAAAATACAGTTCATGTTACAGCGCCATTTATCTTGCTCTGTGTATTTACAGTATTGTATATCTTTACTGTAAATATCCAGTAATTTTCTCAATGCAACTTTAAAATACAGCAACATAACTCTCATACAGTCAAATACAGTACATATTACAGTGCAATTTATCTTGCTCTGTGTATTTACAGTCCTGTATATCTTTACTGTAAAATATATACTGTGATTTTCACAATTCAATTTTAAAATACAACAACATAACTCATACAGTAAAATACAGTTTATATTACAGTGCCATTTATCTTGTTCTGTATTTACAGTATTGTATATCTTTACTGTACAAGTTCAAGTCATTTTCACAATAAAGCTATAAAATAAAGCAGCAGAACTCTCATACAGTAAAATACAGTCAATACGATAGCGCCATTTATGTTGCTCTATATGTATTTACAGTATTGTATATCTTTACCGTAAAATATACAATCATTTTCACAATGCAACTTTAAATTACAGAAACATAACTCTCATACAGTAAAATACAGTTTATATTACAGCGCCATTTATCTTGCTCTGTGTATTTACAGTATTGTATATCTTTAATGTAAATATACAGTAATTTTTACAATGCAACTTTAAAATACAGCAACATAACTCTCATACTGTAAAATACAGTACATATTACAGTACCATTTATCTTGCTCTGTATGTATTTACAATATTGTATATCTTTACTGTAAAATATACCGTATTTTCACAATGCAGCTTTAAAATACAGCAACATAACTCTCATACAGTAAAATACAGTACATATCACAGCGCAATTTATCTTGCTCTGTGTATTTACAGTCCTGTATATCTTTAGTGTAAAGTATACTGTCATTTTTACAATTCAATTTTAAATACAGCAACATAACTCATATAGTAAAATATAGTTCATATTACAGTGCCATTTATCTTGCTCTATTTATTTACAGTATTGTTTATCTTTACTGTAATATTTTAAGTAATTTTCACAATGAAGCTTTAAAATACAGCAGCAGAACTCTCATACAGTAAAATACAGTTCATAACCATTTATCTTGTTCTATATGTCTTTACAGTAAAATATACAGTAATTTTCAGAATGCAACTTTAAAATACTGTAACATAACTCATACAGTTAAATACAGGTAATTTTACAGTGACATTTATCTTGCTCTATATATTTATTTACAGAAGCCTGTTGTATATCTTTTTTGTAAATTATACATTAGTTTTCACAATGCTTTAAAATACAGCAACATAACTCTTACACAGTAAAATACAGTTCATATTAAAGCGCCATTTACCTTGTTCCATATGTATTTACAGTATTGTATATCTTTACTGTAAAACATACAGTAATTTTCACAAAGCAACTTTAAAATACAGCAACATAACTCACATACAGTAAAATACAGTTCATATTACAGTGTCATTTGTCTTGCTCTAAATATAATTACAATAGCCTACTGTATATCTTTACTGTAAAATAAACAGTAATTTCCACAATGCAATTTTACATAACTTTCATACAATCAACTACAATTCATATTACAGCATCATTTATCTTCCTCATGTATTTACAGTATTGTATAACTTTAATGTAAAATAAACAGTATTTTTCACAATGCAACTTTAAAATACAGCAACATAACTCTCCTACAGTAAAATACAGTTCATAATAGAGGCCATTGATTTATCTTCACTGTAAAATATACAATCATTTTCACAATGCAACTTTAAAATACAGTAACATAACTCATTCAGTAAAATACAGTTCATGGTACAGCACCATATATCTTGCTCTATACGTATTTACGATATTGTATATCCTTATTGTAAAACATACAGTAATTTTCACAATGCAACTTTAAAAATACAGCAACAAAACTCTCATATAGTTCATGTTACAACGCCATATATCTTAATCTATATGTATTTACAGTATTGTATATCTTTACTGTAAAATATACAGTAATTTTCACAGTACTTTAAAATACAGCAACATAACTCTCATACAGTAAAATAGTTCATATTACAGTGTCATTTATCTTGCGCTATATGTATTTGCAGTATTGTATATCTTTACTGTAAATTATACAGTCATTTTCACAACGCAACTTTAAAATACAGCAACATATCTCATACAGTAAAATACAGTTCATATTACAGTTAACTACTATGTAACATTTATCTTTAGGATGTATGCTATTTTGTCAGTGCCACTATAGTTGTGTGTGGGATTTAGTTGGTTGTCACAAATCGATTTATTAGAGCAGCATTTTCAAGAACTGTTGTTAAAGGGTTTGTTCACTCAAAAATTGAAATTCTGTTATTAAGCTTTGTGTGCTTTTGGGGATGTTTTCTACTCTGGGGTGTAATTTTGAGTCTTAATTTGGCCACAACTTTTTCTGTGTTTTAACAAATGGACAAATTTTTGGTGACAAATCTTATTTTGGCACATATTTTGGGAAAATGCTTTGAAAATGAAAACAGACTCAACAATACACTCCAGGCAAACTTACTACCATTAAGCTGTTTTTGCCCCCACTGACTTCCATTATAATCACATTTTTTGATTGCAAAGACATCATATTATTGTGTTCTTGATTGTTGGTGGTTTTCCCTGTTGGAAAGAGGTAACATTTGTCATTTTGCAACCAAAATGTAAGGTAATTGTAATGGAACTCAAGGGGGCAAAAACAGCCACTAACATAACAAAAGGGTAGTCCGTTTAAACAATACACAAGGGTTAATTACTTACTTTAGTAACGTTTCAAATGCCCTTTGAAGACCTTTGTCTTCAATTTCGAAACATAATTAAAGACATTTGGACCTGAAGACCAGGGGCCTCATGTATCAACGCTACGTACGCACAAAAACTTTGCGTACGCCAGGTTTCACGCTCAGAATCGCTCACGTTTGGATTTACTAACAATGAACTGAACATGGGAATGTGCGCAGCTTCACGGCAGCTTTCTGGCTGGCGTACGCACATTTTTTGTGCGTGTCTGTTTTATTTCCATTGGCGACTCCTAGAGGCAGTTGTGTTAAATTCCTCTCTACAAAGTGTCTGAGCCTTGCAATGACAGCTGTATGAGACGGGTTCATGTAGCAGGTATATAAGGTTTCCATACCATACAGTTGACCAGCTGAACATTAAAGCACAATTTGCAGCAGTCGCCTGTTTTCCCAATGTAATCTGAGCTATCTACTGCACGCACATTGCTATAAAGACACTATCTGAAGATGAATTTGCATGCGTGAATCAGAAACATTTCCATTCAATAAATGTGCAAATAAAATATGATGCACAAACTTATTGATGATTCCTACTTGTCTTTCTCGTGATAAATAGTGGGCAAAATCTGATATGTAGCGGGGAAAAAAAGAAGAAAGAGTTCATTAGACGCTGGATTCGAGCCGAGTTCATGCTCGAACGTGTCAATACATGATCACATGTGTCTTACGAGGTGCGCCACTGAGACTGCTTAGAGTATTGCAACATTTTACACTTATAAACCACAATATTTATTTTTTAATTCACTCAGTGCGATGTTCAGACCCAACTGTGTTAACCACATCAGCTAAACTCTCCCACTCTATTTTTTTCTTTTGTTGTTTATTCCTCTGGAGCACCTCCAATTCACATTCTGTTCAAAGTTTCTTTTTTTGCTTGATTTTGCCATTGCTTTTTCGTTGGGTTTTGCCAAAGTAGAGTCATTAGCATATTCATATGGGGGAGGAGGCAGGGAGGGGTTTTGTGCTTGTGCATGTTGCGCTCAGTTTCACGTTCATTCGGATGTACAAAAGAATATGCGTGAGATTCGACGTAAGCAGTGTTTCATACATCTGAATTTTTTTCTGCGTACGCACATTTACAGCTTTGTGTGTACGCAATGTTTTAGTAAGATTTTCACGCAAGTCTTCGTACATGAGGCCCCAGGTCTCACTGGAAGAAGAGACAGTACTGTCTCAATGTGATATCCTGGCTAAATTAAGGAAATAAATAAATAAACATTTTAGATAAAATCCAAGAGCTCTCTAAGCCTCCATAGACTCCAATAATCATTAGAGGTTCAAAAATGTTCATCTAAACTAAGCAATTTTATAAGGCTCAAGTGTGTAGGTTCAGTTTCACTTTTAGGGCAAAAACAGATCAAATAAAGAAAGACAAATAAAAAAGGCAAATAAAGAAAGATTATTTTCATTGTCTTTAACATTTAATACCTAAAAATAAATATAGGAGGCTAAAGCCTCCTTTTCACTGCACACGACCAACAACAGGCGACAGACCAGAAGTCGTTTATTTCCAATGGAGAACAGTCCAGGAGCTGCGTTGAGTTCCGAGCATCTCCGTATGCGGAAAATTCGGATCCGAATTGAGTTGCGGATCCGTTCGAAATATTTGAACTCCTGCAACTTGACCGTATGCGACCTGCCGACCGGATATGATGTATTCCAGTGTTGTCCAAGCAGATCAGTGCGCGCAAGATGAGAAATAGGAGTTTATTTGGTTATTTTTTAATTATAAAAAGTCCATATTAAAAAAAAACTTTTCTGTTCATAAATGTAAGTAAGAAAGTAATAAAAATATATATTTTTTTAATGTTGTCTCCACATTCCCTCCAATATTTTAGCGGTCGATGAGTTTCTAGGATTTATTCATTCATTCATTTTCATTGTCGGCTCAGTCCCTTTATTAATCCGGGGTCGCCACAGCGGAATGAACGGCCAACTTATCCAGCAAGTTTTTAGGCAGCGGATGCCCTTCCAGCCGCAACCCATCTCTGGGAAACATACACACATTCACACACACACACACACACACACACTACGGACAATTTAGCCTACTCAATTCACCTGTACCGCATGTCTTTGGACTGTGGGGGAAACTGGAGCACCCGGAGGAAACCCACGCGAACGCAGGGAGACTCCACACAGAAACGCCTACTGAGCCGAGCATCGAACCAGCGACCCATCGACCTTCTTGCTGTGAGGCGAACGTGTTACCCACTGTGCCACTGCGTCGCCACTTTCTAGTATTAATTTATCCATTAAACTATGTAAACGCACAGAGAATAAAGGCTCTTGCTTTTGCCCTCCTTCATTTCGGACACCGTGAGAATCAGCTTCTCCCCCGTGGTGCACGACATCACTGAAAATACTGTGCGGCTGCCACAAGGGGGCGTATTCCGACAGTCGTGTCCAAATGTCGTGTGCAGTGAAAAGGAGCCGTAAGAAAAAAATGCTAATTTTAGGAGGAAAATTCAGACGACACTAAGAGATTTTTGTATCTGAGCTCTTCAAATACATTCTGAAAACAGACCATATGCCTTCGGTTGTTCAATCGGATTACTATCAAGCTACGAGAATCCTTTTGTGCGCATATAACACAAAAATAATGTTTTATTGAACAGTTTCTTCAAGGGTCAGTATAGGGTGCACATTCACAAGATGTCTGTGCCTATTATTTTATGTCATACTCACATCCGCTGTTGACGTATTACCTCAGATTACCTCAAACTGATGTTTTGATTGAACTACTGAATGCATGTGGACTGTTTTGATTATGTTATCTGGTATTTTTCTCAACCAGTCAGTGAATAAGCTCTTAGAATTAATCTAAAAGTTAAATCTTAATTTGTGTTTTGACAATGAACGAAGGTCTCAGAAGTTTGGAAGAACATGAGGATGAGTAATAACGACACAATTTTAGTTTTGGGTAACACTTAAAAACAAACTTAAAAATAAGCAGGACATATCTTAGCATACATGGAATAATGTGTCAGATAACAGGGGATCTTGGTGATGGGAACAACCAACTTAGTTTATATCTATGTTGGTAGAGCAACAATTTGCAATATAATATCAATGAATTCTTTTCTTTTTTTTATAGGAACCGCTTTGCTTCCTGTCGTCGCGTTCCCTTTTGAGGATTTCTATATTAACACACATAATATAGTGCATCAGCTTGAGCCTCATGAGCAACACATACTATTCTACTTGGCACTGATTGCTGTGGCTCTTGGTATCGGTGGCATTCGAGCAATCCTCTGCCCAATGGCAGCCTATCACCTTCAAAGTTGTGACCAGCCCAAGCTATTGTCCTTCTTCAACTGGTAAGATGCTAAAATATTATTATCTTATAACCCTAACAATGAATTTGCTGTACATTAATGCATTTAATACATTGCACGTTACTCTAGTCTTGGACTTACATTGAAAGCCTGTAAGAAGGTTATGGTTATGTATGCTATTGATGCCAAATGTGCTGCTGTCCATGTTTAATTTGTTTCATTAGCTGTAGTGTCCAATAAAGGTTTTATGAATTACAGTTAAACGCACAACCTTTGATTCTAAACAAGTGTTGTGTAAACAGTCAAAAAGCTGAACATTGGGTTGTTTAAAATCTACTTTTACAATGTAGGTTGTGTCAAATCAGCTTAACATAGAAGTTCTACTAAATTGATACTGTGTCGGCCCAGTTTTCAGAGTTGAAGTTCAGTTTAGTTTAGTTCAGTGTGGTTTAAATTTAACTGCTGAAAGTCCAAACACTGAAGAGCAAATCCATCAATGCGCAGCTCCACAAGTCCCGATCCATTCGAGCCAGTGGTGACAGTGGCGAGGAACAAACCAATTGATGAAAGTGAAGGAAAAAACCTTGAGAGAAACCATGCTTTTGGTTGGGCACGACCATTTCTCTTCTGGCCAGTCTAGGCAGTGGAGGCTGGAGAACGCTGGATGTCCATCGTGTAGAAGCTATAGGTGTAAGTAGCTCACCGGCAGGTGTTCAGGCTGGCCCCCGGGATCAATGGGAAGACTTGTCTGTAACTGAGGTATCAGGAATTAGTCTCATGCTCTCCACTTTTCCATGACCACCACAGCATCCACTCAGGATACAGCCTGGTCCAGGATTATGGAAACCTCAGGATAAGGAAAAACAGACTAACATAAGTGTAGATGTCATTCAAATTATAATGTATTTTTCATAATAATCAGCTCAGTGTAATTTAAACAATTAAAAGCATCAAACTAAATCACAATCCCTTTAAGAGTGATACACTTAAAGGTGCAGTGTGTAAGTTTGACACCCAGTGGTTGAACTAAGTATTGCACTCCTGTATCAAAACAAATGGAAAGCGCAGGTTTCCAGATTGAGGGCAGGAGCGAGTGGTTTAAACAGTATTCTAGATAAAAGCAACGTCACCTGATAGAAGGAATATTCTCCATATTAAAATTACTTTTTGTTCTAACCAACACATCAAATTGATATATATTTCTTACAGCTGAACAACAGAAAACTGACAATGATCCCCTCAGGTACACCTCATGTGCTTTATTCAGTGTTAAATGCTAACAATGTGAGTTTGAATGTCGTTTTACATGACATTTATTGCCATACTACTGAAAGCGGCAGATAGTTCACCTCAGATCTTAAAATTGAACTTTAGAACTAAACACGTGATTCAGCATCTACATTTAATAATGTTAAAGAGGGTAAATATGTATTAAATAGATTATAAACCTTACCATTTTGTGAGTGAGTGTATATTATGCTGTATTTAAATTTCTGTTGTGTTTCGTCTAATGCAAACCACCAATTTGCTTATCATTGCATATCTCGTCATGAAGCTTGTTAGGACACACGGTTACCTTCTAACCTGCTTACCTAATGTTTACGTTCATAAGATTTACATTATTTGCTAATTAATAACCTCATGTGGAACTCTGAATCTGGCTCATTTCGGAGTTCATATGATACTGTCCACCAGAGCCAGAGGCCGCATTTCAGCCACGAATGCATGCTTTCAGAGCCTTTCTAAATGAATAAATGAATGAATAAATTAATAAATTAATAAATAAATTAATTAATTAAATAAATTCGCTGTTTTCCACCCAGGCAACTCGGGGTGCTGAAATATAATTTGCTAAACAGGCATTGAACAGGTTAAAAGAACATGAACAAAGAGAGCGTTCCTACACGGAAAACACATTTTCAAAGCAGAATATCTGACTTCAACATTGTTTTTCAGATAAACAAGAATGTTCACTTGGCATGTTCATTAAATATCTGCAAACATATTACGGTATTTTTATGATTTAGAAGAGTCAAAAACTTACATACAGCCCCTTTAAGTGTCCTCCTAGGCTTCAGTTCATGGCACCAGGTAAACACCATGGGGACGCTTCTCTGTTTCAGCCTATGTAACCCGGTGAACGACAAAACAATAACGATAAAACTCTGTAGCACAACCTTGTGTTGTCTGGAATAGTGCTGTCCCATTAATGAAATTTTAAAAAGGTCCATTTCCTGCTAACATTTAAGTGCTTTTGAGCGCGTTCTTGAACACTGCTGATTTGCCATAATATTCACTAGTGCTTAACAGAAATGACTGTGATTGGCCATAAAGGTCATCAGTTCACTGCTCTTTACCAAGTGCAAACACAGATACATGGAAACGGGAGCATTTTAAAGCCGCGAAGATTAGTCGATTGCTCGTCTTGTGTTCGCATTCGATAAACAGCGGAGAAGTGCAGTGAACTGATGACCTTCATGCTAAATCACAGTCATTTCTGTTGAGCATTTTTGTTGAGCATTGGTGTTTAAGAATGCACTCAACAGTGCCTCAATGTTAGCAGGAAATTGGCGTTTTTTTTTTTTTTTTTAGCTTCACTACTGAAATTCAGTATTGTGACAAGTCTAATATAGTGAAAGAACCAGTTCATTGACTTGAGTTTGATAAATGGCATCTAAAACATGTGTTTGGTCAAGAAAATGTTAGCTAACTAGTCCCATTTCCCTTAACTTAGCTCAAAGTGAGGTCTGATATCCCTTTCTATTTACACTATCCTTTCAGAACAGACCTTCGGGTCCCTCGGAATGTGGTGAAATTACAAATTTGTGTCACTTTCTCTTCCCTGATAAGATATACAGCGAGGCACACAAGGTTCCTGTGTGACTCAGGTGCTACTTCCGGGCTTCTTCCCACCACAGCCTCGATTTCGCTTTTAAAAAATGGCGGTCATGGGAAATCAGTCTATAGCAGGGGTGGGCAAACTCAGTCCTGGAGGGGCGGTGTCCTGCATAATTTAGCTGCAACACTAATCGAACACACCTGAACATCCTAATCAGTGTTTTCAAGATCACTACAAATCTACAGTAAAACCAGGTGTGTGTGTGATTAGAGTAGGAGCTAAACTGTGCAGGACACTGGCCCTAATCACAGAGTTTGCCTACCCCTGCATGACCAGAAAACTGATGATTTCCCTGCTGAAAAATCCAGCTAAAATCAGCTTGACAAGCCTGGTTTAAGCTGGACATAGCTGGTTTTGCCTGGGCTCCCAGCCTGGCTAGGCTGGTCAAGCTGGTTTTAGCTGGTCATCTCCCAGCCTGACCAACTATGACCAGACTGGAAATGGCTGGAAACCAGCCTGGAAATGGTCAAAACCCCTCTAAAACCAGCCTGGTCGACCAGCTAAAACCAGCCAACCAGCCTAGGCTGGTTTAAGCTGTTTTTTTCAGTAGGGTTGGAAGACATTCAGTCATTTCGCAACGGTTTTATCCAAAAGTGACTTACTATGAGGAAGGGCTTGTTGAAGACAAGTGGCAGCATTCTGAAACATTTGCAGAGGTTTAAGAGTGAACGACAGTAGTCTAGTTCATAGGTAGAGAGCTTTAGATTAGAGAAAAGAAAGTGCATTCAATTCATTGTTCTGTAAATGCGCAAGTTGCATGTTCGTCATACACAAAAAGAGGTAAATCAGTCTGTGTGCTTACTGTGTGTAAATCAGTGTGTACATATATGTTTCAGCTATCTACAATCCACAGGTTTTACTGGATGGTCAACCTGAACTCGACAGTAGTTTTTTTGGGAATTGCCTACATTCAGCAGTCAGTTGCCAAAAACCTGTGTTTTCTCATCCCTTTCACGTCTGTTCTCCTCGCCCTCATCGCCTTACACATGGTGCGCAACAAACTGACCTTCCGTCCCAAAAAAGGTACGTTTTTAAGTCAACAATCATTTTAAATGTTATCTGAAAAAGAAAAAAAAATCTACCTTCTCTTCCTCAACAACATACATTTTTGTTCTGTGGAATAACAGGTAGTTCCTTGCTAACTACACTGGGAGTGTTCCTGAATTCTTTCAAAATGTGCTGCCTCCATTATCGCCATTTGAGTGGAGATGTTGCCAACTGGCTAGATCGTGCCAAGGAAAACAATGGAGGTTGTTACAGTGAAACCAGTGTGGAAAATGTCAAGATACTGGTCAAACTTTTCCCTCTCTTTGGACTTCAGCTTTTATATCGAGCTTGCATTACCCAGGTGAGTTATGATGCACAATCACGGCAGTGTTTTAGAAATGAGCTCCTGTAACAGATCTATTACAATTCTTTTAACAGATTCCATCAGGCTATTATCTGCAGACCATGCATTCCAACCTAAAACTCAATGGCTTTCTCTTGCCTGTAGCAGTGATGAAGGTCATCAGTATATTGCCGGTGTTGATCTTAGCACCACTGCTGGAGCTTCTGAATACCTACTATCAGTCTCCAAAGAAAAAGCTGCCCTCGCCAGCAACATTCATAAGTGAGCATTATGACTACAAATAATGAACTGTTAACTCAGTGTATGCTTCTTTAACCTTTGACTTTCTGATTACAGCTTGCTGTGTTTTGTTAACAGAAACAAAAAGAATCATGCATTCAAAAACAATCTTGCTTGTTTCTCTGGGAAATCTTAATAAAACCCAAATGTATAGAATGTAATATTTCATTAAGACTTGAGAGGCCATTGGCGACTAATGTCCAACTATGAAATCACATTAACAGTTGAATGCAGCATTAAGGGTATACACTTTATTAGGTACACCTGTCCAACTGCTTGTTAACGCAAATTTGTAACAAGCCAATCAGCAAATCAATGCATTTAGGCATGTTGACATGATCAAGATGATCTGCTGCAGTTCAAACCGAGCATCAGAATGAGAAAGAAAGGTGATTTAAGTGACTTTGAACATGGCATGGTTGTTAATGCTTGACAGGCTGGTCTGAGTATTTCAGAAACTGCTGATCTACAGGAATTTTCACGCACAACCATCTCTAGGGTTTACAGAGAATGGCCCGAAAAAGAAAAAAATATTCACCGAGCAGCAGTTGCCTGGTCTGATGAGTCTCGATTTCTGCTGCGACATTTGAATGGTAGGGTCAGACAGGCCCGGATTGGCTAATCGGGAGGACCGGGAGAATTCCCAGTGGGCCGGTCCGTTTTTTGGCCGCGAGGGCCGGTATCCCTAGCTCCAGAATCGGTTGCTCTCAGCAGTCACACTTTTTAAATTTATTTATCTATTTACTTGACACTACCACAGCCTTTTTATTCATTAATTTACCGCAGCTCTACTCTTTTTATCTATTAACTTGGTTAAGTAACACTGAGCGGTTGTTGTGGTTCAGTGGATAGCACGTTAGTTTTCGATCCCGCAGACCCGGGTTCAATTCTCGACTGAGTAATTCTTTTTTTTTTTTTCATTTTTATTGTTAAGACATATAATACTGTTAGGGTTGTTGAACATTTGAAGTTCTAAAGCAGTTGTTTTCTCAAAAAAAAAGACGTGATAGTGTCATTATAAACTGAATTGGAAATTACCTTATTTTAATATAGTCAGTCGTGAACTGAGGTGGGCCGGTCTGAGGCTTGAAACTCCAGGGCTGAAAAGGAGTCCCACTCCGGCCCTAGGGTCAGAATTTGGCATCAACAACATGAAAGCATGAATCCATCCTGCATTCTATCAATAGTTCATGCTGGTGGTGATGGTGTAGGGCATTTTTTCTTGGCACAGTGTGGGCCCATTAGTACCAATTGAGCATCTTGTCAACGCCACAGTCTACCTGAGTACTGTTGCTGACCATGTCCATCCCTTTATGACCACAGTGTATCCATCTTCTGATGGCTACTTCCAGCAGGATGTGTCATGTCATAAATTAAGACTGGTTTCTTAAACATGACAATGAGTTCACTGTACTCAAATGGCCTCCACAGTCACCAGTTCTCAATTCAATAGAGCACCTTTTGGATGTTGTGGAACGGGAGATTTGCATCATAAATGTGCAGCCGTCAAATCTGCAGCGTGTAATACTATCATGTCAATATGCGTCAAAATCTCTGAGGAATATTTCCTGTAGCTTGTTGAATCTATGCCATAAAGGATTAAGGCAGTTCTGAAGGCAAAGGGGGTCCAACCCTGTACTAGTAAGGTGTACCTAATAAGGTGGTGAGTATATATTTGAATGTAATGCAGTCAATGCAATATAACAATGTATCTACATGCAAAGGGTTTGCACACACATGACAACTTTGTCTAAGCAATCACTGTTGAAAGAAATCAATGGAATTGACTTCATACTGTACCTTAAGCTGTATCTGAAATCATACTGTATACTCTTAAATACTGCACTATTTAACAGATCAATGATTTGTTGTGGTGTCCAAAACACTTGGTCTTGTCTTAAATGGCACACTTTATGTGGACCTTCATTCTCGTTGCCATATATTGCATATGCTCACTAAGGCCCCGTTTACACTAGTGCGTTTTAGTTTTAAAACGGCATTTTAGATCAAAAACATTCCGCGTCCACACTAGCGTTTCACCTAGTGTTTCTGAACATATCTCCGTCCACACTACGCCACCAAAACGTATATCACGTGACCATTCACGCACTCTGGGCATGCGCGTTCTAGTATAAACAGGAACCATGTGTCTCGCTCGGCAATTGGTTATGGTTAGTCAACAAATGCAGGTTAAACAATGAACGCGATGGAAAAGAAAGCAAGAGAGGAATTTTTGTGGACAGACGACGAAGTCGAGTTGTTACTAAACGTAACAAATGAATAACTGCACAATGGCGCCTAAAACAGACAATAGTGCAAACAACGCTCCCATTTCTGTGTTCATGTTGTTGTTTACAGTGAAGGCTGGTCTGCTGTCTTCTGGTAGCATTAAAGCCATGTGTTACAGTCATGTGATAGGGGTTTGACGAATAAGGGAAGGATGCGCAATAACACAAAAGCCCCAATCAGGTAGCGAATCTCAGCAGCCCCGCCTCCGTTTTCTGATGTCTCCGTTTTTCCCCATCCACACTGAGACGGAGCAGCAGTGTTTCAGAATGAAAATGGCCTCTCCAGAGTTTCCAAAACGCTCCGTTTTCGGTGCTCAAAAACTCCGGCGTAGTGTGGACGGATGGCGTAACCTTAGCAAAACTTATGCGTTTTCAAACTAAAACGCACTAGTGTAAACGAGGTGTATGCATACCTGTCAACATTTGGATGTGAAGACAAGTGACTTTCAAGCCAACTAATTTTGACTGCACCTGATTGGCCGCTGCATTCATAAAATAAAAGTGATTGGTTACAAGACTCTTGAGGAATAGTTCAATCAAAATTGAAAATTTACTCACCCTCAAAAAAAGGTTCTGAACCATTGAGCTGCTTTTTTTGGTTGAACTCAAAAGAAACAGTTGACTTCCATTGTTGGAAAAATAAATACGATGGAAGTCAGTTGTTAACGATTTCCAATATTTTGCATAATGACTTTTTTAGTGTTCAACAGAAGAAAGGCAAAAAGTTTTTGTAAATGAGTAAAGAAATTTTTCGGTTTTGGGTTAATTTTCTCTTAAAAATTTAAGAAACAAAAAACAATGTCCCAAATAATACTGCGAATTGGTACTGTTTATTTATTTTTACATTTCTCTTTAATATTGAAAGCCATAATAAATATGTTTAATTGTCAATTTCAAGCCATTTTTGCCTTAAGCCCTTGTTTATTTACAACGCTGTTACACAGTGTAAACATTTTAAGGTAACTAAAAAGGATAGTTAACCCCAATAAGGAAAAATACTTTATCATTTCCACTCCCTGGTGTGGTTTTCGAATTTTTTTGAAGACAAAAGAAGATATTTTGAAGAATGCTCGTTGCTGGTAACCATTGAATTAAATAGTAGAGGACAAAATACTATGTAAGCGTTTTTCAAAATATCCTCTTTTGTGCTAAACAGAAGAAAGAAACTAAAATGGGTTTTGAGCAAGTGAAGGGTGAGTAAATAATGGTTTTCATTTTGGGGTGAACTACAAGAAAGAATATTGCTTTGAAAGAGAAACCTATTTTATCGAAGTGCTTTAGTTTTCGACAGTTATTTAAGATTTTTTCGTTTTAAAAAAATTTTGAGTAAGCCAACTAAAGAAATTTTACGTCAGCTTGGGATCTGAGCGGTATTTCTGGTGCGCAAGCGCTCGACCATGGAGCAGAATCACACCGCCCAGCTCTGCTCACATGCTCTGGCTGCTACAGTATAATCAGTTCAGTATGTTCACTATGTTACATAATTGCCCCCTGCTGGCCGTGTATTTCTTGTGTTAAACCATGTTGTGCTGTGCCGCACTTTACTGCAGTAACGTGCTACACCACTTTATATCACTCGCACATTCTCAGTAGCCATATCTGTATTTTTCAGTAGTCCTTTTCTGCATGTTAGCCGATTGGTGGCACTGTACCACATTTAAATAAATCTATACAATTTTCTTATTTCATATTCTTACAGCTATGGGTCATGGTTGTGCAGCTCTCTCAGCACTGCTAGCAGGAATCTCAGAGATCCACAGGAAGGATTATCCAGAGGTGGAGCAGACACTATCAGGAAAGGTCCTGCAGGTGTCATCAATGACATGTTTCCAGCTCACGCCCCAGTACATTTTACTGGGAGTGGCAGAGGCCTTTGTGACTCCAGCATGTATGTATTTTTGGAAATATACAGAATTCATTACATCGTTTTAAACCCTTAAAATTCAAAATCAATTTGCCTGATCTGATTAATCTCAATTTCCATTCCACCATTTAATAATAGAGCCAGGATTTGGAATAAACAACATGAAAGCATGACTGGCTGTGTAATGGTGTGGATGACATTATTTTAGCACACTTTGAGAACCTTAGTTTAAGTTGTGCATCATTAAAAAAATTAGTCAACCAAAAAATGAAAATTATGTAATTCAGTGGTTCTCAAACGTTTTTCATCAAGTACCACCTTAGAAAAAAATTGTCTCTCCAAGTACCACCAAAATAAGCAGTATTGAAATACAGTAGCATAGTACAATGGTTCTCAAAGTGGGGGTCGGGACCCCCCGAGGGGTCGCGGGACAATGAAGGGGGGTCGCCTTGTGATTTCCAAAAATCTAATTATTTTTATTAAACCATAAGAATTACCATATTTTATCCATTACCTACTGAAGAGAAAAAATATTCGTATATACCATATATAGTTACTATAGTAGCTTATAGTTACTACTTTTATTGGATTGCAACCCCTGGGGTAATTACATTGTATTAAAGACACAGTAATAGTGTCAGATGCAGCAGATTTCATACATAGCACCTGGTTAAACTTTGTGGCCCATTTACAGCTCTCATACATTAAAAAAATTAAAAGAAGAATAGACTTGGGTCCATTGGTGTGTGTGCGCCATTGCATGCAAGGTTTCTGTATTTATAACCACCTCAGAGGATATTGGGGGTCGCGAGTCACTGGCATTGTCATTTTGGGGGTCGCGGCCTGAAAAGTTTGGGAACCCCTGGCATAGTAGGCCCAGTAAAGCAGCTACAACTCTGCACAGTTAAAAAAACCTGGCAGATTACCTCAGAAATTTAGGCATATATGGCATATTATATACATAATTTTTAATCCATTTTGAAATGTATGTTGCATGTACATGACATATTTCATTCCTCCGTGTACCACTAGAAGAAAGCCCGCGTACCACAGTTTCAGAACCACTGATGTAATTAATTATCCTAATGTTAAAGAGCCCATATTATGGGTTTTTGAAAATTCCCCTCCATGTAGTGTAACACAGCTCTAAGTGAAGTGAAGTATCCAGCTAAGGCTTAAATCTGTAAGAATACAGTGTTTAAAACTGTTGATTCATTTATAAAAGAGTCGATTCATAGTGCTTCAAACGAGTCGCCTTGATACCAACTCATTAGGTGTTTCGCCATGACGTACGAACGAAACAAAGTTTTTCACGTGCACGCGCAAACCCGGGAGATTTCAAACCTGAGGCCCCGCCCTCTGACGCAGTAACCCAGACACACACACACACACACACCCACAAACACACGCACACAAACATGCCGGTCGATTGAAGTCACATTGCAGATGGATATATTGAGTCTCTACCCAAAGATGAAACCTCAGCATTATAGCCAAGCAGTTGGAAACTACTGGAAACTTCTGGAAGCTACATGCTACAAAGAATACTTCATCTGAGTTTGTTAAAGGAAGGATCAGTAAAGAGTAACTGATGGACGTCAGGATGGGTTTCTTCCATTTCTCAAGTGTAAGTACGTGCGGTTAAAGTTGTTGCCTCGTTGACTCTAGCTTGCAAATGTATTTAGTTGTGATTTGTTACTTGTAACCGAGTGTACTGTATCAGGTTAACTGGCTATATTCTCTTAACGCGTGCAAAGTCACGTTAAAAACGCGACGCGTGCTGCTTTGTTTATGGAGCTCCGTGGTAACGTTAGAGGTGTGCATACCCGCGGCTGTCCCCGCGCCAGATTTCTGCGGCGCGGGAATAAATTTCCGAATAAATCGCCGGAGCGGTCGGTAACGGGTTTGATTTGGGACGGGAGTGGGCTGCCTGAGAAAGAGAAAGATGTGTCCGCTTGGTGCTTGTGTGTTAGTGCGCACGCGCGCGTATGAGAGAGAGAGAGCGAGCGAGCGAGCGAGAGCTTTATCCTTGGTGCTGTGTGTGTGTTTATACAGATTTTCGGTTTTGTTCTCCCCCGCTCTTTAGCGGGATCGGGCGCGGCGGGCAGAATACGGGGCGGGTTCTAAGGCTAAAACCTGGCGGGTGCGGGCGGAAGCGGGAGCGTTCTCGTCCGGAGGTGTTTGTGTGTGTGTGGCAGCTAAAATCCACGCCTACACTATCTAGCGTGTATGAACTGTGATTACTTTTTAAATTGCTGATTAGCTATTGGCCATTTCACTCTCTGACTGAAGGCAGTCGACCAATCGCGACAGACTGTCATCGGTCCAATCAGCGCAGATTAGCTTCGCGCTAAGGAGGGGTTTGGGAACAAATGAATCACTGAACGATTCATACAGGAGTCGCTGGGATAATTAGGTAAAAATAAATGCAGATTATAAGACCATGAAAGTGTTTTTTGACCTTGCATGCATATTAGACTGTTGTTGGAGACCCTTACAACCAAGATATGACCCTATTTCATGTATAATATGGGCTCTTTAAGGCTTAATCCCAATTCTACCCCTCAGCCCTTCCCCTTCTCCCTACCCCTCATTTTGTGCAATCCCATGAATGGGTAAGGGTGTCCCAATTCTCTTTAGCTTTAGGCGTAGGGCTAAGGGGAAGGGGTAGATAGCCCTCGAAAGAGAGATTTTTCAGGACCACACTCAAAACCAAACGGTAAGAAAAGTTCTTAGAATACACCAGCCACAACAGCAGGATAGCTGCACCCGGAAGTCAGGAGATGCACAAATTAGTATTTTTGTCATTATTACAATTTTTTATAACAAACAAGCAAGCACATGTTTTAATACATTTATAACTGCGTTCGTGTTTTATCATCATGCCATCATAAAAAAAACGCTAAAATAAAAACCGCTAAATTTTGCTATCTATAATCCTTAATAACTCCTGTACAGCAGTTCCACAACATTCTGTCACTCAATGACACTCGTATACACGAATGTCAGTAAAGTCTAGTCATTGTCAATGGGCTTTTTGCAGTGTCTGCTACAATGTTAATGTTGTTTTTGGTGTGTTTACATAGATGAATATGGCCACTGTGTAAATGCACAGTTTAGTTACAATCTTATTGCCACATTGGATTGTTATGATAGCATAATATATGCCTTCAGTGATTTCTTAAAGATAAATACCAAAACAAAAAAGCAACTGGAATAACTGCAGCAGTCGCGATCGTCTGATCTCATAAGAAGCAGGAGATCTTAATGACATATGATGACGTGTGCAGGTGTTGTAGTGCTGTCCCGTTTCTTAGGGGTAAATTTTGAAGCCCTTCCTCTTCATCCTCTGTTGTAAGGGCCAAGGGGAAAGAGAAGGGGTACAAAAATAGAATTGGGATTGGGTCATAGAGTTGTGTCATCATGGGCCTAACCAGGGGCGATTTTAGGATTTTCATATATATATATATATATATATATATATATATATATATATATATATATATATATATATATATATATATATATATATATATATATATATATATATACTCTGTAAGAAAAAAAATCGTAAAAAAAGGTCAAATGACTGGCAGCTTTGGCTGCCAAACAAAAACCATAAAATTACAGTAAAATGTCTTTGTTGAAATAAAGTGCGAAAAATAACAAATCTACAGATATTTTCATTAAAATGTTTACAGAAAAACATTGTTATTTTACAGACTTTTCCAAGATTATTACGATCAAATCCGTTCAATAAAGTTACACACAAAGAGTTTTACTAAGGAACACTGTTATTTTACAGACTTTTCCTAGATTATTATGATCAAACACCATCAATAAAGTGACTGCACTAAAAGTTGAAGAGAAAACAATGTTATTTAAAAGAATTTTCCCTAAATTATTACAATTAAACACCTTTCATAAAATGCCAAGACATGCTCATGGTCGTAATTTAACAGTTTTATTTTGGATCAAAAAATTTTGGAAAAAACAACAAACGAGATACAACTGATTAAAATTCTCACAACCTTAAAATTACAGTTGTTACATTTTATTGAATAGTGTTTATGTAAAACATGTAGAGGTTTAAGTTATATGGAATAATTCAGTTACAGATCTTAAATGAAATGGAACTGTAACGTGAAGAGGACGTTGACAAAGAAGTGCAGATCCAAATGCAGGTTTATTACACAGAGATGGTCAGGCAAACAACAGTCAACACAGGGGCAAACAGATGTAACAATATGAAGGGAATTCAGAGTCATGGTCAAATAACAGGCAAATGGTCAGTCCCGGCAGCAAACAACGTAAACAATTAACAAATCAAGGCAAAAGAAGAGAAACACATCATAATGTTCACAGTAACAGTATAACAAGACTAAGCAATTGGTCTTTGCTGCTTTTAAAGTGCATGTAATCAGTTCATAACGATCCTCCGACTGTGTGTGTGCAATCAGCAGAATCTGGAACAGGTGCATGTGAGCACTCTTAGTGTGTAACTTTATTGAACAGATTTGATCGTAATAATCTTGGAAAAGTCTGTAAAGTAACAGTGTTTTTCTGTAAACATTTAAATGAAAATATCTGTAGATTTAATATTTTTTGCACTTTATTTCAACAAAGAAATTAAACCGTAATTTTATGTTTTTTGTTTGGCAGCCGTAGCTGCCAGTCATTTGACATTTTTTTACAATTTTTTATTTTTTTTTACAGAGCAAGTAATTACAATTTATTACTTTAATTTTACGTAATTTTAAATGTACTTCATAAAAAACAGGAAAAAACACTGTGTAAATAATACGGCAATTTTATTGTATAAAACAGACAAATTGCTGTAATGTGTCTTTACTTATATAGTACATAAAATAACAGTCAAGCTGTTAATTTACAGATATTGTTTGTAATTTTTACGGATTTTTGAATATAATTTAAAAGAAAAGAAAAAATACCGTATAAGTAATACTGTAATTTCCCTGTATAAAAAACAAAGATGTAATTTGTCTTTAATGATAAAGTACCTAAAATAAAAGTCAAACTGTGAATTTAAAGAGATTGTTTGTCATTTTACTAAGTTCTACATATAATTTTAAATGAAAAAAATTACTGTAAAAAAATTTAGGGATATTTTCTGTAAAATTAGGGTTTGTTTTTACAGTGTATATAATACACACACACAACTCTATGGCCCAATCCTAATATATATTCACATTTTTGATTGAACTAACCCTGTTAATGGAGAAACAAATATACTGTAAAAAAAAATCTTTAAAAAAAGTTCAAATGACTGGCAGCTACGGCTGCCAAACAAAAACCATAAAATTACGGTTTAATTTCTTTGTTGAAATAAAGTGCAAAAAATAATAAATCTACAGATATTTTTATTAAAATGTTTACAGAAAAACACTGTTATTTTACCTTTTTGACTTTTCCTAGATTATTACGATCAAATCGGTTCAATAGTTACACGCTAAGAGTTTTACAAAGGAACACTGTTATTTTACAGACTTTTCCTATAGATTATTATGATCGAACACCATCAATAAAGTGACTGCACTAAAGGTTCAAGAAAAAACAAGGTTATTTAAAAGAAATTTCCCTAAATCATTACAATTAAACACCTTCAATAACATGCCAAGACATACTGATGGTCGTAATTTAACAGTTTTATTTTGAATCAAAAAAGTCTGGAAAAAACAAGAAACAAGATACAACTGATTAAAATTCTCACAACCTTAAAATTACATTTGTTTCATTTTATTGAAGTGTTTATGTAAAACATGTAGAGGTTTAAGTTATATGGAATGATTCAGTTCCAAATTATTACTTTAATTTTACGTAATTTTAAATGTACTTTAAAAAACAGGAAAAAACTGTGTAAACAATACGGAAATTTTATTGTATAAAACAGGAATATTGCTGTCATTTGTCATTACTTATATAGTACATAAAATAACAGTCAAGCTGTTAATTTACAGATTTTACAGATATTGTAAATATAATTTAAAATAACTATAAAAATACTGTATAAATGATACTGTAATTTCCCTGTATAAAAAACACAAATGTCAGTAATTTGTCTTTAATGATAAAGTACCTAAAATGAAAGTCAAAATGTTAATTTAGAGAGATTAGTTGTCAATTTACTAAGTTTTGCATATAATTTGAACTAACAAAAAAATTACTGTAAACAATTTAGAGATATTTTCTGTAAAATTGTATTTTTTTACAGTATACAGACTAGAACATGAAGAACAAAATTTGAAAAAAAAATCACAATAAAAACAGTAAGAAATTAAACTAAACAATCAAACAAAAAATGGCATTTAACACACATAATTTACGATAATATAAATGTTAAGCTAATGAAAGAAGTATGTGTAAAATACAATAAATGTGAAATGTTTCAATTAATAATGTTGAAATTCTAACGTCTAATAAACACTTGAATGTAAAATTATTTGCGTTCCTGTGAAATTAAAAAAATATATTTTCAAATATCTCCCTAATGCTATGGAGAATAAAAAATAAAAAAAAACTTTAAACATTTTCAAAATGCAAAAGCTTTAATAACTAATTTTTCATATGTAATTAGAAATTCTAATAAGAAATTCTAATAAATTATTTTGCTAGATAGTTCACATCAAAAGTCAAGTACTAGCCAAAAACATTGTGAAAATCATTCCACTCTGTCTTGTTTCTCTCTCTCCAGGCTCTCTCATAGCCTTCTGTCTGACTCCCAGCAATCTTAGAGGCGTCTCTTTGCATTTCCTAACCCTCTCGTACGGAGGTGGCTGCTTTCTGGGAGCTTTCCTCATTCACTTGCTTTATTTTGTGTCAGGAGGTAAACACACTTCACTCTTGGAAATGCCAAACTTTTGTGCAATTATGGATGTGAGCATGAACCCACATTTAAAATCAAAATGTATTTACAGGAAACTTCTACCCTAATAACCTCAGCAGTGGCAACATGGAGAGGTTTTTTTTTATTCTGGCCACATTGATGGCTATCAACACACTTGTGTTTTGGAGAATATCACAAAGGTACACTATTGGCCTGTTTCAGGCATTAAACATGGCATAATGAAAAACATGTGTAGATGGATGAATCTTTACAAGGTTATTTTTTTAGCAGGTATGCAGATTTGAGCGTGGAGCTGAGTAGCGGTATAAAAGACAGTCCTCTGTCAGAGAAACTCCTGCAGTACAAGACCTGTCTGCGCTTTTATGACACAATGGAGCGCTCGGACACCTTGACGTCTATGGAAACTGTTTTGTGAATTCGCTGTATGTAAAAACTCTGTAATGCTGGCGTTACATGAGATTTAATCTGAATGAGTTTCATTGCTTGAGCAATAGCTGTAAATAATGCTATTTAAATGTTTTCAAATAAAACGTTTTTTTTATGATATACTACATGTTGTATGTTATTGACTCCCAAAATAATGGTAGAACCATGTTACAAATGTCACTAAGACATATAAATAAATATTACATATCCATCTTTTTCAACTCTGTTTATTTGAGACATAACTGTTATAGATACTTGTCAAGACAGAATTTGTATATATTTGTGTTTTTTTTCAGTGCAACAAAAATATTTTATTGATACGTGCCATGATCTTGTTAATGATGATTATTACTATTATCATGTATAAATGTTTAAAAAAAAACATAAATGAAAGAGAACAGAGTAACCAAGAGGTTAAAAAAAGGGTAAAAAATGTGAAAAAAAATGAGTTTAGGGAGAGCCAAATAAATAATAATTTATTTCAGACAAAAAATAAATAATAATAATAATAACTAGAACCTGAAGTTTATTGATAAACTTTGATGTTTGCTTGAGAAAGCCAACGTGGCTGCGCTAGGACTGGGAATGGCAGTTGGCAGGAAGCACGGCGGCAGTTGCTAAAACAATTATGGCATTGTTAGGTTTTTGCTAAGCAGTTGCTAAATGGCAATGCTCGTGTACATGTTTGATCAAATGCTAATACTTAGTAGGCATTTCTATCATATGTTATTGCATTTAGATAATCATTCATAGCATGTAGCTAATCGTTTTTAAATTGTTTTTAAATCGTTTTTAAGTTTTAAAGAAAAATAATGCTTAATTATTTATTGGAAAACTATAAGTCTGATAAACCTTAAAGATATAGCAACAAAATATAATGCATCTAAATACATCTTTTGGCCAATTTTGGGGCTTGTATAATTTTTTATATGCTCGGATTATAAAAATTTAATGTTTAAAATTTTTTATTAAAAAAACGCTAAGTTTTATAGGCATGAGGAGATATAGCAACAATCTTGAATGTAGAAGGCACATTTTGACCACATTTGGGCCTTGTGGCATGAACGGCCTAGGAGGAGATACGTTTGTTTTCAAGGACAGAGTAGTATAACAGTATGTTGGCTTTCTCAAGCCAACATAATAATATTAATTCCTTACATTTTTATAATGGTTTTCTGGGTACTCAGAGCACTTTACACATTGGGAGGGAATCTCCTCATCCACCAATAGTGTTCAGCATCCACCTTGATGACGCCACGGCAGCCATGTTGCATGAGACTGCACACCACACACCAGCTGATGGTGGAGAAGAGACAGAGTAAAGAAGCCAATTATGATATGGGTATTGTTGGGAGGCCATGATGGACAGAAGCCAGTTGGCAAATTGGGGTAATCCCAGAACTCCGGGGTGAAACCTCTACTCTTTTCGAAGGACATCCTGGGATTTTGAATGACCAGAGAGAGTCAGGACCTCAGTTTAACGTCTCACCCGAAAGACGGTGCTCACTGAGTAGTAAACAGTCCTCTTCTCTATACTGGGGCGTTAGGACCCACACAGACCGCAGGTTGAGCACCCCCCTGCCGGTCTCACTAACATCACTTCCACCAGCAACCTAGCTTTCCCATGTGGTCTCCCATCCAGGTACTGACCAAGCGTAGCCCTGTTTAGCTTCAGTGGGCGACCATAATTAAGAAAGATAATCAAGTCAGCAAATACATATGTAGGGGAGAGCTGGGATGAAAGTAATGTGGGACGAAAGAAACAAAGCGATTTTCCTGAAGCCCTGAAAACATTTGATTTTCAGGCTATAACAGCACATTTAGCATGCATCCCTTGATAGAGCTGCCAAATATCAGCTGATTTCGGGACCTTGTCCCACAGAGTAAAAGTAAATGATTGTAATGGTACTTTTTTCCTTATTTCAAGTCGTGTTTCTCTTTTCATGCATCACAGTAATGATCAATCTACGGGTTATTTAGTGCAATAGCACATCCTTGAGTTTGAAATCTCTGAGCTTTTCAGTTTTAAAGTAAATCAGGTTTAAATGACAAGAGTTCCTGTGGGGCAGCACAGTGGCGCAGTGGGTAGCACGATCGCTTCACAGCAAGAAGGTTGCTGGTTCGAGCCTCGGCTGGGTCAGTTGGCATTTCTGTGTGGAGTTTGCATGTTCCCCCCATGTTTGAGTGAGTTTCCTCCGGGTGCTCCATTTTCCCCCACAGTCCAAAGACATGCGGTACAGGTGAATTGGGTCGGCTAAATTGCCCGTAGTGTATGTGTGTGAATGTGTATGGGTGTTTCCCAGTGATGGGTTGCAGCTGGAAGGGCATCCGCTGTGTAAAACATATGCTGGATAAGTTGGTGCAGGCATGTGCACACATAGGGCTGAACCTGCGCAGTGCACATGCCCTTTTTAGTCTTGGATAGAAAGTGCCCTTCCAAAATGACTTACTATGAGATTCTTCTGTTTTTCCCAAAAAAGGAAAATGAAATTTTTTTCACAAAATTTTGGAAAATGCTGGAAACCTGTAACTATTGACTTCCATTGCATTTGCTTTCCTACTATGGACATACGTGGTTACAGATTTTCAGATTTCTTTAAAGTATCTTCTTTAGTGTTCAACAGAAGAAAAAAACTCATAGGTAAGGAAGCACTTGAGTAAATAGTTTCAAGAGTTCCCACTTAGATATGCTTGGCACTTAGCATAGCAGGTTTGGCATGCTGTCCCGGGAGAGAACCCTGAGCTCTGAGATATTTGAGCCCAGGGCTCCCGCCCGGTCTAGAAGCATATCAGGAGAACCGAGATCAGGTAGGTCTCGATCGCTCCCGCTTTAGAAGGGGAAAAAATGGAGGAGATGGGGTGGAAGGGGGGATTCTTCCAAAACGAAGAAAAGTGAGCTATTTATATTAAGTTAGGATCATTCTGATTGGATTATTACTGATTACGGATGAGTGGCCAGCGGTGCACAATCATATCACGTGCTCCTCTCGAAATTAGTTTATGAAACTTCACTTATGGAGAACTCTCTCTTTAATTGAGTAAGGAGTCATTTAGAAAAGTCACAGAAATGATGATCAGAGCTTCAGATTGATTCACATGATTTTATTTGAATTATTAACAATATATAAAAGCAATTCATTACAAACAATTATAAACACTTAATTATAAAACAATCTCTCTCCCTTATGACAGAACACCAGATTAATTTATGAGGTAGAAAATAGTACAGCAGATCTTTGATGACACTTTAGAGGAGAAAACTGTGACAGCACTGGACTTCCTAATGGAGTTTCAGCATTAATTCAGTTCAATCCATCTTCATTTCTACAGCGCTTTTACAATGTGGATTGTGTCAAAGCAGCTTAACAGAGAAGTAAATTGAAACTGTGTCAGTCCAGTTGTCAGAGTTGAAGTTCAGTTCAGTTCAGTTCAGTTCAGTGTGGTTTAATTGTCACTGCTGAAAGTCCAAACACTAAAGAGCAAATCCATCGATGCGCAGCTCCACAAGTCCCAAACTAAGCAAGCCAGCGGCGACAGTGGCGAGGAACAAAACTTCACCAATTGACTAAAGTGAAGGAAAAAAACCTCGAGAGAAACCAGACTCAGTTGGGCACAACCATTTCTCCTTTGGCCAAACATCTTGTGCAGAGCTGCAGTCTAGGCACCATTAATTACCATTATTGTCATTAATTACTCGCCTCATGTCCTTAGTTCAAATTCATGTTTACTTCATATTGAGAACACAAATAAAAACTTTTTAGATGAAATCTGAGAGCTCTCTGACCCTCAAACCGCACGTTCATAAGAGCACAGTGCGCTGTATGTGTGTCGCACTGCTGACGTTTAACCCAGAGGCCTGCGCGACTTCCTCTCATTTAAACAAAGCGTGGGCACATCCGAGGTAAACATCAGCAGTGCGACACACATACAGCGCAGGACAGAGCTCTCATGGTCTGATGAAGTTTTCTGGGATTTAAACATTTCTTTCTTCTTGTGGTTTATGGAGGATCAGAGAGTTCTCGCAGCTCATCTCAAATATTTTCACTTGTTTTCTGAAGATGAAGAAAGGTGTCAGGGGTTTGGAGCTACAGCTGTCATTTTGAAGTGAAACTTCTTTCGTGCAGAAAGAAAAACACAAAAACAATAAAACAGAAATACGACTTCAGAAGTTCTGTACTGCACTGTATGTGTGTCACACTGCTGATGTTTAACCCAGAGGCCTGCGCGACTTCCTCTCATTTAAACAAAGCGTGGGCACATCTGAGGTAGACGTCAGCAGTGCGACACACATACAGCGCAGGACAGAGCTCTCTTCAACACACGTCATGAACTGACACTGAAGAAAAGTAAGGTCTTAGGGGTTTGGAATGACATGAGGGAGTAATTAATAACTGTAACAGTCTTGTGAAATGTCTGGAAATGGTGCGCTCCTCCTCCTCGCTTCTTTAGTTTTTTCTAAAAGTGAAAGAAAAACAACCAGAAATAAGACAAAGTTATTTAAGCAGTAATATGAAAGGCTGTCAAATAAAACTATGTGTGTTCCTCTACCTCCTCTTGTATAACTGCTTCACAGGATTTGGGGTCGTTGGATTGAACCAGCAGTGCTCTTCTACCTGGTGTAACTGTAGCCGTTTAGCTGGATTACGGATCAAACACTGGGAAGTCAGGTCCACGCATGCTGAAAAGTGTCACAGAGAGTGTGAAATATGTCTGCATACCACTGACTGTAAAATATATGGACGTAGTATCCGTGACGTCACCCATAGGTTTCTAAAGAGCGCCTAAAAGAAGCCACAAGTAGGCGCGGCCAACCGTCGCCATTTTGTTCGCGCGTCATCAAACAAGATGGCAAAGAGGCGGAGAGTGAGCGGACCTACAGAGACCTGCTGGTTTTTAGCTTAGACCTGGTTCACACTTTACTTTGGGAGAACGCTTAATACTTTATCACCTGTGACTCGTTTGTATTCTGACCACTTGTGCTTGGTTGTACACTATATCAATAAAGTGTTTAGACTTTTAAAAACACTGCTGTAATACACTGAGCCACTAAACATTGTTCTTATGACGTTTTTCAACAGGAGGAAAACGCGAATTACTTCCAAACACTTCAGATATAGTCTGTGTTAGTTAATGTAAGACTATTGATGAACTCCAGCATAACACTGTATGACAACGCTTCAGATGACTGTTCTAGAGCCTACAGCTAATCAATTCGTCAGATTCTGGAGTGCATTACAGCTCTAAATATAAATATAAACGATAAATGATCTTAAATAAAACAAATACATGTATAGAGATGGTATATAAGTATATAACTTTACTCACATGGGAAACGGAGGCCAGGTGAATGGTTTGTGAGCACAATTAAGTTCACTCAGCATGCCATGCCATCTAATAATTGTAGGAAACAAGTCCAAAAGGCAGTTGACTGTGTAAAGCCACATAAAACAACACAGAAATACGATAAATATGCCGAGTTCAGTGGCTAATCTGCAGGATTCAGTTAAGGTGATGTGACGGCGACCAACGAGACCTAGCTGTCACTCAAGTGGCCACGCCCTTAATTATGAAAACTTAATATAACTTTATATAAAGGAAACGGATGAGTTATAAAAAAGTTCACCCCCTCACAGTTGTCATGAAGGGTAATATTAGCTGTATTAACCAAAATCTTTTTTTGTACCAGGCTGTAAACACCTTTTTTTCTGCTGTAAAGTTGGCCATTCTAACAGCGGGCTCAATTGAAATTTGCTCTGTTTTGGAGCCAGAAGCGGCCAGGACTAGCGGAATTTCGGATGATTTGCAGTTTTAGTTACTTCCATATTGGCTTCCTGAGAGAGAGTGGGAGGTTGCCGCTTGCTGCATACTCAAGATTCATGAACGTCTTTAAATCTTACAACATCAAATGTTACAAAACATCCACAATTAAGTGACTTTAATATCTACAGGTCCTGTAAGCATTATATTTAATCCATTTGACTTATGACTGACATGTTTGATTCTGTCACTGAGGCTGAGATCGTTCCGAGCTGTCTGCTTACCTGTGGATAACCTGGGGTGTATCTGAACTGAGCCAAACATTATTGACTGTCTGTTATTGAAGGCCAGTCGTCCATGCATTATTTCATACAGCATGATGCCTATTGTCCAGACGTATGCCGGGTTAGCATGGAATACACGACACCTCAAAGCCTCAGGTGGCATGCCATGTCCAGCTCCTGTAAGAGAGACATTTCCAGAATTCAGTCGTTTCATAAGACAATACTGTGAGCAAAGAAACTAACACAAAATGTCAACTCACCTCGATAGTCACTTTTATTGAAAGGCTTTTGGGTAATTGGCTGAGCACAACCAAAGTCAATCAATTTGAGCTTTAATCGGGGTAGAGTCACCAGGATGTTCGCTGTGTGTATATCACCATGGAAAACTCCACGCTCAGTGCAGAACATTACAGCTCGGATCAACTGACGCATTAACTGGCGTGCTTGGTTTTCTTCAATGTCCGCTGTATCTTTGATGTACTGATGCAAGGTCTGGCATGACTCTGCGTACTCCAGAATGAGAACAAAGTTGTCCTCAATCTCAAGCCAGTTGTGTAATCTGATGATGTTTGGACATCGCGGAGCATTCATCAACCTAATCATCATCGCCACTTCAGCAAGCACAGGTTTGGAATGACCATCCTAGAAAGAAAACAGATTTCAAAAGACATTACCAAAGCGGAATGGCACAAAGTACAGTAACACAAACTTCAGTATGTGAATAATCACTAAGCTCCATGATCTGACACATTTTTGCTTGCATTTGAGCATTCAGTCTTGCAGTTTAAGCTAAAAGAGGACTCTACATGTGTGTGTTCTGTCCGTCTCTGAGGCTGAGCACATGCACACAACAGCACAAGAACTCGTTAGCACTTCTGAATGACTCATATTGACCTTATTCTCCGCAGACGAGCGGGCGCTGCCATTTGAATCTTTTTGGCACGAGACTTCCGGTCTCATTCACTTCCATTCATTTTTAGACATTAAGAACTGCTCGTTTCGCTGTTTGATGTTGCAAACTGATATTTTCTTCTTATATTATTCTACTTGGTCTGTATAGTCCATGCAAACATTTGTTTGTAGAGCAAGTAGTTTGACCGTTTTTTGCCGTTTATTATTCCTTGTCATTTCTCCCATCGGCGACTGAAACGGAAGTTCTAAGACAATCGCGAAAACAGGCGCACTTCCTCATTTTAGAATAAGGTCAATACACTCTAATAAATCAAGCACGTCCCATGCTGCAAAAGTCCCACTACTTGATTTCCCTGATTTCCAGCTTTGTGTAGAAATTAATGCTGACTGCTTTACAAGGGGCTGGGATATGAATCAATGATCATTTTAACCTCCATTAATTCATTCATTCATTTTCTTGTCAGCTTAGTCCCTTTATTAATCTGGGGTCGCCACAGCAGAATGAACCGTTAACTTAAGTTTTTACGCAGCGGATGCCCTTCCAGCCGCAACCCATCCCTGGGAAAACCTCCATTAATGTTAAATGAATTTTAATTAATTCCACAGCCCGACATTCATGTGTTCAAATTTTGTCTCTGGGTTTATTTCTTCTGCTGAACACAAAAAAAGATTTAAGATTAAGCAAACTATTTATTGTGCATATAGTAACAGATTTACATCACTGTTAAACAGACACATCTCATAAGAATAAATAAAAAAACAACAAAACAGAAATATGGACAACACACAGGGGCGGACTGGCCATCTGGCAGTTCTGGCAAATGCCAGAAGGGCCGGACCATTTTTTAAATGTGGGCCGGTCAGTTTTTATTTTATTTTTTATATGTGTTATTTTTACGTGGAGGCAGCTTTTATCTCTTGCTAGATGTGATATTATGATGATGATAATAAAAAAAAATAATAATAAATGTTAAGCATTTGGACCAATCGGCGACGGCCGTCTGATTTCAAGATGGGCCGATCCAATCCGAGGTTACCTGGACGCAATCAAAATCTGGCAAGAATGTCATATTATTTCACCATCTGTACACCAAAATAAATAGTGAATGTCCGTGTCCGTGGGTGGGGCTATGTCGGTGTGGTAATGCGGGCTGATGTGGCTACAGTGCCAGGGCTGAATTTTTGTCCCAGTCCGCCCCTGACAACACAAGTGAAATTTTATTTTAGAGTCTTTATTTCTACTATTCTCCAGCTCTTCCTGGAAGGTGCTCGCTGTGTTCCTCCATTGCTGCATCTTTTTCTGTGCCTGTAGCATCTGGACTCCATCACTTCACAGCATCTGAGGGAGAAGAATATGATTTTGTGTGATCCTAACAACTAAAAAATTACAACAGACCAAGACTTTTTGTCATGTTTCATGAATGCACAGTAATGTGCAGAGCTGGGCCGTGCACAGGGGGGTGGCCTGGTGGCTAGAGCCACTCCCCCTCTGCCCCCATTGGCAGAGGTGCCCCTTTCAGCCTGTAAATAAATTTAATTTTTTCTGTTGTTGGAACACTTTGTTGACAAAAAAAATTCTCAAAAAACAATGCCTTTACAAAAAAGAAGACAGAGACAGAGAGAGAAAGAACGAAGGAAGGCTGATAAAGGTAGTTTAACACTGAAAACATTCATAGCTCCAGCAGGTAAATCATCATATGGAACATTTAGCTGTGTTTGTCTAATTAAGTAGGCCTATATTTTCCATAATAATCACTATAATCACAGGCTACAGCAAATCATTTTATTAAAACCATGTCAACAGTAGGCCTATAAATAGTAAAAAAAAATGCAATATTAATATTCTAAAAGTTAATATAAATTCATGGTGTATAATATTAAATTAAACGTGTAATATTTATTTTTCCATTGAAGATGAGGCAGAAGCAGGTTCAAAAAATGAGGGAGACCACCGAGCATGAGCTAAATCACACAGGTACAGGTAAGACTGTTAATCTGGAAGGGATATGCTAGAGTGTCATACAAAGATAGATGGACATTTAAATAATTTAAATATTGTAAATGCTTTGTTATTCATTCTAAGATGAAACTCCCTCCGAGTCAACTCAGCAAAGTAAAGGTGATGGAGACAGAAAATGTTCAGATTGTCCATCCAACAGTAAATAGTTTCTGTTATTATCCGCAATGTGTAAATGTGAATCACATACATGTAAGATGAGCTTATCAAGATCTTTCAGGACAAAAAAAGTTTTGTTTTTAAAGGTACAGGTAAATATAAAAATGTAAAATGGTAAATAGTTCTGAAATTATTACAGAGTGTACTGTTTTTTCTTTTAATTGTACTTTTACAACAACTAGAAAATTTGTATAAGCAAGAACCCACCCACTTAGTGCCCCTGCCCCTCAAAATGTCTGTGCACGGCCCTGAATTGGTGGTTCATTCTGCTGTGGTGACCCCGGATTAATAAAGGGACTAAACCGAAAAGAAAATGAATGAATGAACCTTGGGTTGCAAAAAAAATATATCTTTTCATATTGTTTCTCAAAAGTGAAGAACCCAAAAAGAACCTTCTTTAAAATAAAGCTCTAAATTCTAATAGAAACCCTGGATCTCAAGACTGAATAAACTGAACATTGAGTAGTGGGCAGGGTTTTATTTTAGTTCTCATACTTGACGTCATCAGAGAAGGACCCCCACACCAGAGCAGAATCAAATAGGAGGTTTTTGATTAAAGATTACCTACAATAAAAATGATCAGCGACTTTACTTAATTGTTCACCTTAACACTACCAATGTCCTCTAGCAAAATAAACATTGTACATTTTTTTACTTCATGCTGACTTAAAGTGATAGTTTAAGCCAGGAATATTAATATTATTCTTTATACACATTGCAGGATAAAACTCAGCATAATGTATCTTATTTCGCCATCATACAAAGCAAGCAAACCTGTTAAGTGCAGCTGAGCAGTGTGTGTGAGTGAGAGTGAAAAACATCCCCCGGTGGTCACAGCTGGACCATCACAACCGCTCAAGAAGATCCGCCTTCGTTGCTACCATAGACTGGTTGCTACGGACACACGTCTGCTTCTCCCAACATGGACCTGCCTGAACCCATCAGGCGACGGCTTGGAGATTTCTCCAGAACCGTGTTTGTGGACCAAAGCCGTACACAACCCTCTTTCGAAGAGCACGCAAATTTTCTAGACCAAAGTAAGTGTGTTTGAGCTTCCATTTGATCTGCTACGTGAACGTTAGCTGTAGGGCTAATTCATCTGGTTAGCCGAGTTGTACGATTTCATGTAGCTTTTGCTAGTAAACATATTTTTTTCTGACGTCATATGCAGATATAATAATGCTTTATGGTAGCATTAATCTTAAAAGGAAGTTGATAACATTTGGCGTTATTCCTGTCTGGGACCTACGAAACTACGTTGCGTTACCAAAAAGCATAATAAATGGTTCGTTTGAATCGGATCTTCTTAATGGACCTTTTCATAAAACGTGATTAGTCAAAAAAACTACTTAAAGTAAGGCAACTAGATGATTTAATAGGTTGACGGAATCGAAATATTTTGGATATCTTTAACCAAGTTTAGTTAGGTAAAACAGCCAAGTGAACAAAGTTACTCATTTAAAACGAACTGTTCAAAAGAACCGATTCGCCAAATGTTATTTTACTCCATCCTATACAGGCTCCGAACACTGATTTATGTATTATTATTATACATATTATATATCTGTGGTTCCGAATCAGGTTATTTAGGATGCCCAAGATTAGTAAAAATGAACTTTATTCAAAGCTAATTTGTCATTTTAATTTTATGCACTATTATTTCTCAGATAAGGATGTAGTATCGAGTCTCCCTCTTCAGATGTCACTCTACTTTAACATGTGGTTCTTTCCTTTCTGGTGGATCAGTGAGGTTGTGATGCTTGACCTAAAGGTGATTCTCGTCTTTGTCATTTTTAACATTTCAATATGATCTTATGGCTGTTTAATCATATTACTGTTGTTAGATATTACAGCTAATAATCATTGTGCTTTTTCTTCTAGTACTCAGCCCTTGCAGATTATTACAAGTTCATCCTGATCACAATTCTCATTGTAATGACCCTGATTGAGGCTATTAGGCTGTATTTGGGCAATGCTGGAAATCTGCAAGAAAAGGTCAATCTTAATTTAATGTAATATCATGTAATATCCTATAATTGGTCCCATTATGCATCTGTTGTTTTTCAGTAGGTTCCAGAATTGGCTGGATTTTGGCTTCTGACTTTTCTACTTCAGTTTCCTCTGATTTTGTTCCAGCTCTTCAATGAGGCTGTTCTTGTTCAACCACTAGAGAGAGGAGTTCATATAATACTGGCCTTATTTATCTTTGCTGAGGTATCTATCTGTCTATCTTACAACTATTTTAAGTGACTATGTAGAATTTTTAACTCCTCATTGTTCAGAATTTGAAGGGATTTCAGTTGTGTACCAACAGAACAGTGTTTTATAAAACACTCAAGACACTTTGACAAAAAGCCATTATTTTGTGCAAAACACAGTGATTAGAGTTTAAGAACAGCAATGATATTGGTTGTAACATAAAGATTACAACTTTAATTTCCAAAGCCTACAACTGCTTTTGTCTCGATTGATTTTACTACATCTTCAGTACAGATTTTCACTCAGGAGGGAAGCACGAAAGCCATATTTTTATGCAGATTTGAATGAAACACTCCACTTCAGGAGGAACAGGCTCAACTTATAAGAGTTAAACAGAAAAGATTTGCCATTTTTTAATCCTTTTAGATGATCACTGGGTCTGGTGAAAACCCTTTTAGCTTCGCATAAATCATTAAATTAGATTAGACCATTAGCATCTTGCTCCAAAAATACAAATAATAACTGGAGATAATTTTTCTATTTAGAGCTTGACACTTTTCTAGTCACATTGTATACTAATGCTGTTCACACCAGACGTGGAAGGAGCGTCAAGCGCAAGTGATATGTTGATATGGCTAAGAACTATACTCTCATTTTGGTGTAATAATCAAGGGACTAGCTGCCATACCAAGGCTGCAGCAGGGACAATGTTAATATGTAGCACTGTTATCTAGATGGGAAATATTTTTTAGAATAAGAGTATAGTTCCTAGTACATAATGTAACTATAGAAGAGTGTGCGTGTATGTATGTATGTATATATATATATATATATATATATATATATATATATATATATATATATATATGTGTATATATATATATATATATATATATATATATATATATATATATATATATATATTTATATATAAATATAAATTATCTTGTGTAACTTATATAACTTTAAGTTTTTGTGCAAGAGGCTAATGGTCTAATCTGATTCAATGATTTATGCTAAGCTAAGCTAAAAGTGCTCACACCAGACCTGAAGATCAACAGAATTGAATAAAAAATGCTAAAACTCAACTGTTTAAACTTATTTTTTTTTAAATGTTGAGCGTTTCATTTAAGGCTATGATCTTAAACTTTTTTGATGAGGATGATCTGTTTAAATTTAATTTTGAATACATTGCCTGGTCTTTCTTTTTTGTCACTTCTCCGATTTCTTCTTTTAGCATTTAGACGCAGTACTTACAACCTGGGGTGCTTTTCCGAAAACAATTGTTAGCAAACCAAGGTCACAAGTTCCATCGTTACAAAGATAGTTTGTTGATTTGGCGGTTCCCAAATCCGTCGTTCCATTGAACATTCGCAAACTGCATCACAAACTTGTAAGCTTACAACTAAACCTCTAGGGCTGTAGTTAGATGCATTGCTCCTGGTTGTTTTCTATTCCCGTTCACCCTCCTATGCCTTATACATTTAGAATGTTCAAACATTTAAACTTGGAATGATTAAAAAAACATTAAAGTTATCTCTCTTATGTGTAATTTGCATTAAAAGTATTTTACAGTTCTTTGATCTTCATATTGACAATTGAGTTGTCTTCGTGGTGCACTTTGAATTTTTTTTTTGACATTTTGAATACAGCCATGGCTCCTGACGAAAGCTACATGTGACTATTACTATAAAGCAGTTTTTATGTTGCGTCTCCAAATATTGTGAAAACAAAAATATAGGCAGAGCGTAACGTTATTGGTTTTAATTTATAGTTGGTTATTTATTAAGAATAGTATCTGTACTGTACATGGGCCTGTTTGTTTGAACATTTCTGCTGTAGTTTAAATATGTCAATTGTAAAAGTAGACTTTTAATTAAAAAAATGAAACAAATAAACAATACCGCACTACAATTGTTATAAATATGATATTAGGTAGGATTTTTTTTTTCATTTCTTAATAAATAGCCTACTGTAAATTAGGCCTACAACCATTAACGATTTATATATGACATTAGAATATGTGTGAATTTATATGGAGTATTTTCAATAATATTTGTAAAAGAAACATAAATAGGTCCTATATATGTCGTTTATATTTATTTTAATTAATATGGAAAACTGGTGCATGTTTTTACTTAAACTAATATTGTAATTTTTATGCTTTTTTTTAATGTGTGATTGTGTAAAACAATATAATTTGCACAAAAATTGATGTTTTTATTTCTCTAAAGAAGTTGTTACTCCACCCTGTTTAGAGCGTCATTATGGGCATTTTACATTATAACTAAAGTGGTTTAAACGATGGATCTGCGACAGAAAAAACTGTGTGTTTTGGGAAACACTCATCACTACATCGTACTTCTCCCAAACAATGCATCATACTATGATAGTTCAGCACGAAATGGGAATATTTTTCATTTTTCTCCTCGTCTAAAGATATTGATCAGAAGTGTCTATGTAATAAAAATACTTAATGACTTCTTTCTTTTTCAGGTTCTTTTTGGATTTGTTGCCTTGCGTACAATGGTCAGACACACTGAAAGTCGCTTCCATCTGCGACAGTTTCATGGGATTCAAGAACTAAGAACGTGATGAGATGCCTTCACTGATGGACTTGAAGTATTCCTTGTGCTCACCCTATAGATTTTATTTAAAAGACTTGTTCCATTATCAGTGGCAAATTTAATGCATGTCTTGGTGCCTTAGTTTATACAAAAAATTATGTTTGTATTATATTTTGTATACAAAATAAAAAAGGAAAAACATTGTTAGATGCTTTTAAAGTCAAAGACAAAACAAACTCTAGTAGTTTAAACAGGTGAGTCATAATATTTAATAATGAATCTGAATTTAACGTAAATTCTGGTGTCAGTTACTTTCTTCTGTTCATCACAATAAAATAAATTTTGAAAAAATGTTGCTTGCTGGGACCCATTGACTCATAGACATATTTTGTTCCTACTATTAGGGATGGCTGGCGTGAAACTTGCGTTTCGACAATAATGTCGAAATCCCGAAGCAACAAAGTCGCCCAGGTCACGTGACTAAAGTGTTTAGAAACACCAGGTAATGTGACTAAAGTAATTTAAAGCATCGGCCATTTCAGAAGCGTTTGGAGACCTCATAAATCTGCGTTTGACTGACAGGGTCAAAAAAACGTTATATCATGTAGCCTAGTGGACTGTGAATGGTCACAGAGTAACTGTGCTGTAAAAATCCAGAGTTCCAATCCCGACTTGTGCAAATTCTCTGAAATAATGACTGTATTTTAATTATGTTCATTTTTAGGACCAAAACAAGACATATTTATTCACAAAGTGTTTATTTGGATGTCGGACCAATGTTAAAACAAAAAGCGTCAGATAAATAGAGCATTTGTTAAAGCATTTATTGAAATTCTCTACATCTGCATCAACCTAGATTCGAACCCATTATCTCTGCATGCTGGTCAGGAACTCCCACCGCTCCACTAAATTACTTGAAACCTCAACTCTACAAAGTGAGGTATAATTCTTCAATTTACTTAACTGTGTCTTTGCTGAAGCCTTCCAGAACAGTACATAGAAATTGACCACTTATTGTCACTAGATTTGAAACCTTTCGAAGCTTCGACACATTTGTTTCAGTGTTTCAAGAAGCCTTGCTTGGCCCACCACCACCTACTATGGAAGTCAATAGCCGCATTTCCACTATCGGGCCAGTGCGAGCCAGGGCTTTTATCGGGCCAGGCCAGGCCAATCGCCCGGGTGGTTGAGCAGTGAGGCCGAAATCATGTCGCGTTTCCACTGTCGGGCTAGTAGCTTGCAGCGCGTCATGCAAACCCTGCCCCCAGTACATCCCCTGAATCAAATGTCACACAACCCGCCCACTTCAGCGGGAATCAGGCAGATAAAGCACACCACATCATAACGAAACTATTAAAATTAGGACAACCAAAACAAACAAATGACACGTTACTGTACAGCAGTACAATGTATGTCTATACGCACATGCCTGTGTGTTCTCATTCATCATATTCATTTACTCTCCGACCGACTGTTGGCATCGAAATCCAGTGGTCTTGCCACTAACGGAGAGACCCAGCGCAGGGAGCGCACACATCCATAATATAACACCACATATATAAAATTCTCCGTTAATAACTCGATATAAAATGTGTTTTATAATATCCTCAGTTAGACGCTATCCAACATTCATCCCAAGTGCTCCGGAGAGAACTGAAACATGAACTTTTCCTTATAGGCTTTATGACACTTAATAGATGATTCCCTTTATTTAAAGATGTTGCTTATTATATCTTAAGTAAAGGAAAGTGTTAAGTGTTTCAGCACATAAGAGCAGCACGTAATAAAATATTGCCTATATTGCCTTGCGCTCAGCAGCTGTGCACTAATAAAGCTCTTTATGTATTTAAAATTTCCTTTTTTAATTTTACCACGTCATATAAAAACATACACACTTGTTTGAGGACACAGAACACATTTTGAACTTGCAGTTTTCCCCGATGCGTCTAAAAAGTGCTGCGCAGCTGCAGACAGAAAAAAGGGTTGCCTAGTTTCTGCTTTCACTCACCCCGAAAATGCTCTGTTTGCATAATTTGATTAATATCATCGTATCCAAATACTTTATAAATAATATTTAAAACATTCTCCGGTGTTTATTGTTTTTAGAAAATATCTAAAATCTTTTTTTTCAGAGAGGCTTTTGAAAAATGAAAGTTTAATGGCTTTAAAACAGTTTGATATAGTACCTAATTGTTATAGCTAGCTTTTGTTAGTTTTATATTGGTTTATTTATTTAATGTGATTTTATTATATCTGATATTTGTAATTCTTTAAATTACTTCAATATAGCTTAGGCCATTTTAACTAGATATGACACTATTGTTTTGAGCCTACAAAAGTGGACACGAAATTTGTAAAGTTTAATGTCTTTCTGTTGTATTCATATTGTGTATTATCTCCAAAATAAATAAAAACAATAAAAATAAAAGAAAAAAGCCGCCTACAGCATCAACAGAGCTGTGAAGGGAGTGCTCTTTTCCTCGGTCTCGCACACACATTCAGGCATCTAAACGTGCACAAACACACCTTTTAAACTTGACAAAAACTCTCGAAAACCTTTACTGTCTGCTGTGTCTTTAATATGGTGTAAAGATTATTATGCGTTATTGAAACATCAAGCAAAGAAAAGCCACTTATAAATGCAAACTACTTTATTATTTTATGCAACAGCCTTACATTTAAAAGAGAAACATAAGGGCGGTCATACGCAAAAAGACCCCAGCCTATAATTTGTTCCAGATGATTTCTTTCCCTTATTTATTTATTTGTTTGTGTTTGACGCATGTACTCGTGTGTGATCGTGAAACTGTGCCCGCCTCTCCTTTCAGTCCGCCCCGAAGCCCCGGCTGGCCCTCTTTGGCCCAAGGTATTCGGCGGGCCGAAAAAGGCCTGCCGCCGGCCCCAAGAAAGCCCCGATTAGGCCCCGGAAGTGACAGTGGAAACGCGACTGGCCTTGTCTCACCCTGGCTCGCTCGCTTTATGCCTAGTTCACACTAGAGGATTTTAAGCCTGATTTGGAAGTTAACGAGCTCGCCGACAGATCAGGCTGTGATCAGGAAGAAATCTGCGGGTGCTCGGCGCTCGCCGCTGTTTATGTGTGAACTACTGAACAACGCATCAACGAGGTCAAGTCATGTAGTGTGAACAGCACAGCGATCTGCGTATGTTTAAAATCCTGTAGTGTGAACTAGGCATTAGGCGCGGCTAATGGGGGCCAGCATTTTTTTTTAAATATCTTCGAATATGAAAATAAACTTATAAAGGTTTAAAACCACATGAGGGTTTTTTTTGTGAACTTTCCCTTTAACAAAATGACACAAAATATTGTAGATAAATCATTAACAAATCCTGATTAATCACACATGGCAACTTTAAATAAGAACATATTTTCAAAACATAGGAACTTAGAATTAAAATAGCTTTAATGTACCATTTTATTTTTATAAAATTAATAATTACAAATAAGAGACGTTTTGTTTTTCAGTATTAACGTTTGCATTTATTAAATATATAGAAATGCACACCTCAAGTGACGAACGAGTTTTGAAAGAAAGTCTGAATATTTCAGCATTCAGGCACTTGGCTTTGCAAGAAAAGGCCCCCTGCTCGTATCACCTTGTGCTTTTGTCTGTTTTTTCCTGAGACTCCAGCGAGTGAGATGTTTGAGGCAGAACACCATCGAACTGGTCTTCCACCTGCATGGACTCTTGTAGAAATCGCACATGGAACCTTATGAAGCAAATGAGCTGATGAGTGAACATGCTGCGATTAAGCAAACCATATAAATGTTCTGTTTTGCGACCTACTTCTCTTCACTCCTCAGAGCGTCTTGTGAAGCAGCATTTTTTAGGAAAACCTGAGATTTGCTTCCTTTGGGCAGCCGTCCTAGGCTTAGATTTCCAAAGGCAGCCTGGTTCCCGAACAGCTGAGCATGACTACAGAGGAACACACATTGAAATACTTTTTATAAAAATATACTATTAGAATTGAACATATTTCAGTGATTCTGATTACAGTACTGGAAGTTGCCATAGACTTTTATAGTGCATGATGACTTATTTCCAACTGATGCAGAATATTGAGCTGAAGGTGGGGCTTTATTTCTGTGCTCCTCCTCTCATCTTTCACTTTTAGCAAAGATGGTTGGAGGGGCGTGACTAAGCATATTTCGCCCAAGCTGACATCATTAGAAAATGTATAAACTCGTTGGAATTAATTGTTCACCTTAAGACTTGCAAAATGCGCAAGCAAAATAAACCATAACCTTTTAGTATTATTTTAGAAGATTTGTACTTTTATTTGAGTATGTTTCTGAATAAATTGTATTTTTTTACTCCTTACAATTCTATTTAAACAAAAATTAAAGTTTGTTTTAATTTCTTAAATTGCATCTTATCCACATTAAATATGGCAAACAGACAATCAAATGTTTGTGTTTAACACAAAAGAACAATTCATGTTTGTGTTTTTATCCAGCTTTGTTTTAGCTTACAGTTCAGAGTATATACAGGAATCAAAGAGTTAAATTTAAGACCTTTTTTAAGACTCATTCTATACATGATTAGACCTTATAACCACTTTTCAACCAGAAACAGGCAAGATTTTAACTTACACTATATTTACTAAATATTAATGTAACAAATTAATCCAAAACTAAAACATTATTCATTTACGGAATTAAAAATCTATTAAATCTAGCTAATTCAGCAGGTTGGCGCCTATAGAACTGCAGAAACAATGATGTTGGCTTGGTAACTGCAGTAAAGTGGCATATTGTCAAATCTAGTAGGATTTCATAGATTTCATAAACTATGCAGCATCTTGATATTTGCAGATTTAATTCAGGTAAACTTTAGCATACAACCGTAAATTGCATAATGAAAAATGATATTAAATTTAATACCTGGCAAAATAGCATTTAAGACTTTTTAATACTTTTTAAGGGCTTTAAATTCCTCTACATTAATTCATCAATCTTTAATCCTTTGCCGCGGACACCCTGCAGTTATAAAAATATTAAGAGACAACTTGAAATTCCTAATTTTCTCTAGATTTACAATTTACAGTGACTAAAATATTAAAAATGTACTGTTTATTTTACTAGCACACAATGTTAGTCTTAAAGAGATTGTGTGAGAGTGGTTCCAGGCCTTTATTTTATTTTTATTTATTATTATTTTTTTATTTTTTAAATAAGATATTATGAAGAATATTAGAAACCGGTAAACATTCACATCCAAAGTAGGGAAAACAGATACTATAAAAGTCAATGGTTAAGATTTCCAACATTTTTCAAAGTTTCCATTTCGTGCAGAAAATAAAACTGCGCCGCCAATACACCAACATGATGAAAAAAAGTCCACAGCAACTTTCGGTTCATGCAGATTTTAAATAATAGTAAGAATATGGTTTTGAAATGAAAAAAAAAAGCTCTAAATGACAATACACTGTAAAAAGTGAAAACTCAAACAAATTACTTCGACTTGTTATAATTAAATGAATCAAGTTTGACAACTTAATTCATGACAGTTTTCAGTAATAAATTAAGCTAGTCCTTTACCAATGTTAGTAATTTATTTAAAAAACAAGAGTAGAACAGAACATACAGTACAGTAAAAATCATTCAATTTATTATTGTTAATAAAATAATAATAGTACAAACACTTTTATTACAGTACAAATAAATCCTATCCCATGTTAATATACTAATAATACTTAATAATAATAATACCAGTATTGCTCATTATTGATTGTGAACAACTCTTATACTTGCCATAAATAAATTACTAATACCTGTTACACATAAAATAACTAAATTTATTACTGAAAACTGAAATTAAGGTCGTCAAACTTAATTCATTTAATTGTAACAAGTCAAAGTAATTTGTTTAAGTTGCCACTTTTTACTGTGGAGATTTATTTGAAATTAAGAAGAAATGTTATCAGACCTTTATACAATAAAGTAATACCAACGATTTACACAAACTCATACCTAATTATCCACGAAAACGGAAAATTCTACAATACACTAATTTCTAACGGCCTGTTTTTTGTATAATTCGGGATTTTGTAATATTCGGGATATATTAAATAGGATGGATGTCAAATAAACAAGAAATATAGTTTTTTGTTTGTTTTTGTAGTTGATATTTTTATGTAATATAAATCCCCAAAACAATTGCAAATCGTGCTTAGTGATCTTACAAAGAGTGGATACATGGTAGTATAATTAAAATATACTGACTATTATTTGTTGACATTTAAAAATATATATAACAAAGGTCAATATGTTAAACAGATTAATTATAACAAAATGTATTTCCTCTCTCATTTTTATTTTGGCTTGGCTACTTTTACTTTTTAATATTTATGCACAATTTTAAAGCTTTTTTTAACTTTTAGCATGGTAAATTATTGGCCAGATACTCAGTACCGTTTCTGAGTATCATATCTGAGTACTTTTAGTTTTATACCCCTGCAGTGAGCGCACAGTGACAGCAGTAAGAATGACGGATGACATTCGGAAATCTTTATGACAGGTGTCAAGTAAACTCCCTTAAAAATAATGAGTCGGACCTGTGCATGTCAGGGAGGAAACAGGAAAGCTCTTGTTTACTGATTTGATTGGCCCTTCTGGTCTGCTCGGTATTTGGTGACGCAAAACCAGCCCCAGCACCTGCTAACATTGGAAAATGAATCAGATTACAAGTGTCTAAATACAATACAGTGCATGATATTACATTTCAGTTTCATGCACATATAATACCCAATTTTAATTGCTTTTGTTGCAGTATGTCAATATGTATATATATAAAAATGTTTACCTTGTCCATCTGTTTTATGACTGATCCTCAGTGTCCCCATGTTGTGTAGTGGCATTAAGTGTTTGACAGGAATATGGTTTACTTGCATCTGTCTTTCCTGCCTGAGTTTCTGTTGACTGGAAAAAGCCATCTATACATTACATTTTCCTTACAAGGATGTTCATGCATTTCAGAAAACATTAATGTATAATTTTATCACATATTAATATTACTTGGGTAATATACAGTGCTCAGCATATTCAATTCAATTCAGCTTTATTTGTATAGCGCTTTTACAATGTAGATTGTGTCAAAGCAGCTTCACATAAATGGTCATAGTAACTGGATCAGGGTAGTTCAGTTTTTAGTGTTTAAGTTCAGTCCAGTTTAGCTCAGTTCAGTGTGGTTTAAAGTCATTACTGAGAGTCCAAACACTGAAGAGCAAATTCATCGATGCGTAGCTCTACCGATCCTGAACCTTGCAAGCCGAAGGCGACAGCGGAGAGGGAGAAAGAAAAAAAAAACATATATAAGTACACCCCTCACAGATCTCTCATTTAAATTAATATTTTCTATTGCTAGACTTTTACAATGATATAGTTGATATAACACCAGCATATTATATATAGATAAAGTTGTGTAAATAAACATATTATATATAGATATATTATATATAGATATAGTTGTGTAAATAAATTAGATTAGTCAGTACCAAATGCCATCTAATCTAACAAAAAAAGAGTAGAGTCCAAAATTAAGACCACGCAAATTGATATGTTGGGGAAAGATATTAGATAAAATGTTAATAAATGAGATAAATCAAGAGAAACATAAAAAAATTTAATTTAGTTGAAATTTTGTAGTTTGATTTTCAATAACTCATTTCAATTTAATGTATTATCTTTCTATTGCCAAAGATGTTATGTGACTAAACTTTTTTAACTGATGTAACTGTATAAAAAGGCCAAAAATCACTGGCTATATTCACTGAAAATAGATCCAAATATACATTTTTCAAAAGGGTGTACTCATTTATGCTGAGCATTGTATTTGGTGATAATATATGATAATATTACATGATTATGATAATATATTGAATCTTTTAAGATCTAAATATGAAAATTATATATCTAGTGATCTATAAGATATATGATGTAAGTGCATATATCTTCATTTACGTACATAGATTTAGGTCATATTTCAGATTTTATTTATACATTAATATATTTGAATGTGTCTGTGCATAGAAATGGTATGGATTATAATATGTTGCTATCCGATTTTTATTATGCCACTTTCACGGCAATGTATATTAAATAAATTATATATTACATATGAACATACACTCACCGGACACTTTATTACGTACACCTGTCCAACTGCTCGTTAACAATAATTTCTAATCACAATCACATGGCAGCAACATGCTCAAGGCGATCTGGTGCAGTTCAAACCGAGCATCAGAATGGGAAAGAAAGGTAATTTAAGTGACTTTGGCTTGTCTGAATATTTCAGAAACCGCTGATCTACTGGGATTATCTCGCACAACCATCTCTAGGGTTTACAGAGAATTGTCCGAGAAAAATAAAATATCCAGTGAGCGGCAGTTCCGTGGGTGCAAATGCCTTGTTGATGCCAGAGGTCAGAGGAGAATGGCCAGACTTGTTCGAGGCAACAGTAACTCAAATAAACACTTGTTACAACCGAGGTATGCAGAAGAGCATCTCTAAACGCACAACATGTCCAATCTTGCCACTCCTGTCAGCTAAGAACAGGAAACTGAGGATACAATTTGCACAGACTCACCAAAATTGGACAATAAAAGATTGGAAAAACGTTGCCTGGTCTGATGAGTCTCGATTTCTGCTGTGACATTGGTAGGATCAGAATTTGGCATCAACACATGAAAGCATGGATTCATCCTGTCCTGTATTAATGGTTTAGGCTGGTGGTGGTGGTGTAATGGTGTGAAAGGACCAGAAAAAACTTGATGTGCTGATGTATGGGACTTTGTCAGAGCTTGACAGAAGCTTTACAGCATACAGTTCATGGATCAGTTTGTTCCTCCATTTCACAAGTGTAAGTGTGATCACGGGCGTGGTAGTGGGGGGAAAAGTGGACCTGACTACCCAGGGCCCCGTCTAGGGAGAGGGCCCTTTGAAATCCCACCAATTTTTTATTATTATTATTATTTTTTTGCCTACTTCGAATTAATTGGCCCCTCCAATTGATGTTAATGTCATTATTTATTTCAAAATATATTGATAATATATAGAAGTTAATGTGCCTTTTAAAAATATAAACAATTAAGTAATACTAATATAAGAAATTATATACTTGATTTATCCCTTTTAATGGTATAAAGGTTGAAATGCCATTGTATTAGATATTTTGTGTCTGTATACGTCTGCAAGATGTCTGTTAAAGATCTCTTGATCTGGAAAGCACCTGCTGTATACAAACGTCTGGCAGACGT